TCTCTAATTTATTTTTATAATCCATCCAAATTTCTACCTGAATTATTTTTTAAATCATCCAATTCTCTCTATCTTTAAGTTAATAAATCCTATAATCTCTTCATTTCTGAATCCCATGATGATTTATCAGTTGAATATTTACTCTTCCATTAATTTATATCTTTTTCATAATCTGTGATCTTACGTTCAGCATCCTTTAATCTCTAAGCAAGTGAATTATCAACCTATCCTAATCGTGACTTATAATCAGCAATCTCTGTCTCTAACTACTTGATTCTTATTAAATGTTTATCAATATCAGATTTGTATTGCGTTATATCTCTATTTGCTTAATCTAATTTTGCTTGTAATTCTCTCACTCTCACATCTCCACCTTCACTTTAATTTTCTAATTCCTTTATTCTTTTAATTAAAGCATCATTTTCTCTCATTATACGATCATTCTCCATTGCTAAAAGGAAACACACAACTTCTGGGTATTTTCCTAACCATTTTCTCTCCCCTGATGGTGGTGCCATTTGAACACTTCATATAAATAACTATTTACGCTGTAGCTGGTGGTGCTTTAATTGTACTTGATCTTCTTCCTTCCGATCTCTCAAATGTACTTGTAGTCGTCGTTTGTGGTACTGACAAATTAGATGATGTTGTAGTTGTTGTGACTGATGTTCTATAGCTAGATTATGTTGTAGCTGCTTGATTCTAACCTATACCACTAGAACCAAGAGTGGATGGTCTATATCTACTTGTGTAGGAAGACATTTATTTTATTAAATAAAAAAATAAAATTCAATCATCCAAGATTTTTACTATATTAAATAAATATATTTATAAATATATACCATTTTCTATAAATCTAAATACAATTATAATCTCTTTTGCCATCAAAAATAAATCATAAACTTATGCACACTTATTTATCAATATAATATTAATAATTAATCAATAAATAATTAAAAAGATATATTTACTTATACACCTATTTGGTTTTCATTTAATAAAAAAATCCTTGGTTATATATACTATTTTTATTTTACACTAATAACATCTTTTGAATTAGATTTAATATATATTTATTCACATTTAAATAATAACTGAATTAAGATGATATTATTTGATCAACATAATTGATGCCCATAATATTCACATAGTAAATATTATTGTAATAAAGAATAAAATGATTATTTCATTTTAATATTAAGCTATAATTTAAGATTAATTATTTAGATTATTTTTTATTTAAATCAAATAATCAAAAGTACATATTGATTCTTATATTCTAGAAGTTGATTAAAAATTTAAATTGGATTTTTATAAAAATAAAAAAGTGGTTTTAACTGAAAAATCTTCAATTATTGTTGATCATTATTTAAAATATAAGAAATTTAAGTAAAACCTAATTGTATCTAAATTATCAAATCTAAATTGCCAGAAAATAATTATTTTTGGCAATTTCATAAATACAGAGCAGTTTGGAGAGATTAATTTTAGAACAATGATTTATTTAATTATTTAATTCATTAAAATTCATATTTTTGATAAAAAGAAATTATGAATAAAAAAAATAAGAACTCAAAAAAAGAATCCATTTCATAAACTATTGATTAATAATCAAAAGTCAAATCATTAGCAGAGTTGGAGATTACATAAAAATTAGTATTCTTAAGAAAAATATTATGGACTTGGTTTATCTGGCAAAGTGTTATTGTACTAAGTTGCTTTTTGATATATTCTAAACTTCCTTTTTTGTCATCTGTATAGAGGTTGATTGATTCAGATTTATTATTGATGTTTTTTCTATGTTTAACTGTAATTTTACTATATTTTGGATCTAGTAATATTAAATAAAAACAAGTATTGTATTGATATATAAATACTAGCAAAAAACATCATAATTATATTTGATATCAGTTATAATAACTTAAACCTTGTTATATTCATTGATTACTAATAAATTAGTAGAAAACTCAATAAATTTCTTATTGATTCATTGTATGTAGCTAATCGTTATTGCTAATCTAATTCTATATTTTAGAAATGCTATTGAAATCAACCATTTGATTTATTTCAAATAAATGTTTTGGTATTCTGGATTCTTAATAGCAGCAGAATTCTTTTTTACTAAATCTACATCAATAAACACAATACCAGGAATGATTGTAATAGGAAGTATATTAGGATTTGGAACATTTGCTTTAAGATCAATAGAAACTTTAATCGATGGCAAAGTAATAATAAATTATGATTATTAATAGTTTAATTTAAACCAGGAATAAACATCTTTGGGTTCTCTTCTGGCTTATACAAATTTATTATTACCATATAGAAAAAGTGAATGAATAATATTGTAAATAGAACGATAATTTAATTTAATAAAAATTTATTATATTTAACTTAAATTCTCACTATAAAGGTATATTGAATTATTGTTAATTAATCATTAATTAATTAATGTAATAATAAACAAATCCGAAAATTTGTGATAAAATTTCTTAACTTGTAAACAGACCCAAAAGAAGCGAACAAGTTAATAAAATTTGCAGACCTGTGAAGGTTTTATCTAACCACTTTCCAGTATGATTAATAGATTATAATTTAGTTTGAATTTAAAGACAAATCAGCTGGTTTAAATATTTATGCCGTCAGCTTCTCAGAAGATGTTCCATAAGATAGCAGAGAAGTTATAAGTTAACTTATTAATCTCTCTAAAGATTAATTTAGAAAGGCAGGCCTTGAAAAATTTTCTGTAAAGATTTCATAATATCCATTTTAGATTAGAGGTCTTAATATTTGGAGTCCTCAGTATGTCTAAGAAAGAATCATATCAGAAGTTACACTAGATGGAAAAAAACATTGTGTTTATTTGAACTTCACAAAGGCAATCGATTTCTAATATCTTGAAGGGTATTAATTTAATTAAAAATTTTTTTTAGAGAGAACCAAGATCCTGCTTTGATGTAGCCATTATAACAAGCTATAAATGTCTAAGTTAAGAAAGCACTCAAAGACATGGGATTAAGGGAACTTAATAGGTTATCTTAATTTTTTGATCCAAAATCTGTTGATGCTAATCCAGTTAGGGGTTTCCCTCTCAAAGTGTGGCTAGGATTTAAGACATCTCTGAAATTATCTTAGACAAAGCCTTAATTACTTATTGATTATGCTTCAAGAGTCTTAAGCACAGAGACAGCATTAAGTTTCATCAGATCATTTAATTAAAATATTGGAGAAATAAAGGATTAAGTTGAAGGAAAGTCAGTACTTGCTACCTATGGAAATTATAGGTTATACAAAATTTCTGCTGTTGATTTTAAGAAAAATCCAAATTCAACTTTTCAACTAGATGATGGAAAATAAATCACTTATGCCTAATATTATTAGGAAAGGTATAAAATAAAAATAAATGATATGAAATAACCTCTACTAGAAAGTTTAGATAAAAGAAATCCAGATAAAAAATTTTATTTGATTCCAGAATTAGTTTATATGACAGGATTAAGAGATGATTAAAAATCAGATTTTGGATTAATGAAAGAATTAGCCTTTTATACTAAAAAAGAACCTGGTGAAAGATTATAAATTATATAATCCTTGTTGGGTAAATTACAAAAATAACTTGGTGCCCAATAAATGGTATTAAAATCTGACTCTACAACTGCTGCTTATATTTGTCAATAACCATAATTGATGTTTGGAAACCAAAGAAGATTAGATCCAGATCCAACTGGATTTTTCATATTAAAAGATCCAGTTTATCAAAGTTCATATATTAAAGATTGGTTTTTAATTTATTAATCCAGAGGAAGATAAGATGATGATCTTGCAGATGATTTAGTAGCAGATCTTTCTTAATAAGGAGGTAGATTGGGTATAAAATTTGACAAACCATTTTTTATAAATATGAAAGGTAATAAACCTTAAGATTGGATTAAAGAATTATAAGCTGAATTTAAAAATGGTTTACCTTCTCTTGTTGTTTCTATTACAGATAAAAATAGAGACACATCACTTTATATTGCTTTAAAAGACTTCTTACTCTCATAAGGTGGAGCTGGAGTAATCCATTAAAATGTAACAACAAAGGCTTGCAAAAATAAAAATAAGTAAAGTATTGCTTCAAAAATTGCTTAATAAATCAGTGTAAAATTAGGAAATCCATTATGGGTAATACCTAAAGTAAAAGGAATTTCAGATAAAATTATGATTATTGGAATGGATATTTATCATAAATTAGTTTCAGGAAAATAATCTTGTATGGGATTTGTGGCTCATTTTGATTTAGAATGTAAAACAAGTTTTTCAAAATCTATTATTATGAGAGCTGGTTAAGAATTTAATCAAGCTGTTGGATAAGCTTTTAAAGAAGCTCTATAGGCTTATTTTATACATTATAATAAAAAACAATTGCCAGATACTATTTTGGTTTATAGAGATGGTGTTGGAGAATCATAAATTCAAGCTTTAATCTAAACAGAATTAGAATAAATTAAAAAAGTTATTTCAACCTACACAGCAGGTTATAATCCTTAATTTGCATTCATCACAATTAATAAAAAAATTTCAGATAGATTCTTTATGAGTATTGATGATGCTCCACCTTAAGCAAGAAAAAATACTAAAAGTCCCTACATTAATCCAGTTTCTGGTTTAGTAGTTGCTGACAGAATTACATCTAAATATTTTGACTTTTTCTTAGCTGCTTAATATGTTACTTAAGGAACATGCACGCCAACTCATTATACTGTGTTAGATAATAACACTTAATTCACCGAAGAAATGTTTTGGCAAATTACATACTTTTAATGTTTCAATTATTGGAATTGGACAGGAGCTGTGAAAGTACCTGCTTGTGTTCAATACGCTCATAAATTAGCTTTCTTAGTTGGAGATACCTTCTAAAAAGCTGTTCATTAAAATCTCTAGAAATAGCATTTCTATTTATGATTTTTTTAGTTTCTTCTTATATATATATATATAAATCAACAATTTAATAATATATTTCATTCTTAGAATTAATCTTATATATTAATGTTTAGAACTCTTGTCATAATTTCTAATGCTCCACGTAATTATGGATCTTTAGTTGGATCCTTTAATTTTTCAAGTGCTAGTCTCTTCCTATTATCAACTAAATTATGTTTAATTTTTGAGGCTTTCTGACTACTTTCTAATAGTAATACCTTTTCTTATTCTAATTTGCTAATTAGTTAATAATTATTTAATACTCTTAGTTCAATATTAATTTAGATTCCCTAGTAACAATAGAACTTTTATTAAAATTGAATTTCTATTATAACAATTCATTTAATCTTTATGCTCGTTTTTTCTCTTAATAAATTATTGAAAATATACTTAAACTTCTGATTCTGCCTAATCATCCATATTTTATAATGTCTTTCCAATTAAATTTTTCTCAATATAATCAATCTTCTTTCTCTTTTCTTCTAGTTTCTTATCTTCTATCTTTTATTCTTCACTTTTCTTTTCTGGAGACAATTTTTCAATTCTTTTATCTCTGACTGTTTCAAATTTTTAAAGAGTTAACTTAATTAATTTTAAATTTTCTTCAGAATTGGCATCTAAAACTCTGATATCTTCACTTAATTATAATAAGTTGTAACGTAAAGCAGTAACATCTTTCAAAAAACTCATACATTATTAATCATCCAAAATCTTATGACCAGCCTACCTCATCATTAACATATATAATTCAATTCGATCCCTCAGATATTAAAGCATCTCATTAAATAAATCTGCATTCTTATCATATATTTTTTCCTCTTAATGAGGATCTATATATTCTGGATTTGACTCTTATAAATGCTTAATAGGGGATTATTTCAGTCCAATCTATTCAGGGTTCTTTTTGAATTCTTATAAAATGATAGAACCTATTTAATCAATTAGTACTATAGTGTCTTCCAACCTTTAATTAAACATTCCCTTTTTTTTAGGTTGCTCCATTAAATCCATTAATAAAAAGATCTTTTTCAGTCTAAACTTGTCAAGAAGTAAATTTTTTAATTAGTTACATTTCTCCATTATTATTTTTAATAAATCTCTAATAACAACATGTTACATAGTCCTATCTTGATGAATTTCAATAATTGTTACCTCTTCTAATAAATGCATCAAATTAAACATAAGGTAATCCTTCAAATAAATTTGCTCTATCTATTTCTGTATGCTTAAATAGTCTGTATCTTCCTTAAGGTCCAATTGATTTTCTCAGTTATTAATTGCTTGTATATTTTTTCATTATAATTTTACTTATTTTTTAATATAATGAATTTTTTTATTTTTTCAAGTAATTTAATCAAATATTCCTTATCTCTTTTATTATATACTTAATAATTGAAGAGGATACATGAAATTTAATTTATAAAGATTAACTAAAATCATATTTCAATTTTCTATTAAAAGAGTTTTTCAAATACACTTGCAGGTCCTTGGGAATCAAAAAATTAATTTAATTTTAATTTCTCTCTAATAATTTATTGATTAATAATTACCTATTATATTCTCTTACATCAGATATGCCAATCATTCCTAATAAATAGGTTTATAAACCCCATAACTCTCTATCATCTTTATTATCATAAAATGGAACTATAGGTATTCCATTATCCAATTACCAAGCATAGCTATAAGCAGCATTATCAATCAAAACAATTTAACTTAATTGCCTATCAAAAATTCTAAGATCCTTTGTGTACATTCCTCCAGTAGTCATAATACAATTGTCTCTAAAAAGACGATGAGAAATCAATTTTTTTTCTGGATCCAAATAATCTAAGACTTATACAGCATAGCATGAATGTGAAGCTGTAAAAACTATTATTTCGAAATCATCAACCAAAGATTCCAATAATTCTATAGCTCCTGGACGGATATTGACTCCTGCTTTAACCATTTCATTTGGACCAACCTATATATTTAATACAATATCAGATTTTTATAGCAATGATTCATTACAATGTACCAAAGTTTCATCCAAATCAAAAATTAAGGAGATTTTATCTATATTTAATAATAATTATAAATACTCTTATATTTATCTTTTTATTTTAAAGAAACAGTCTTTTTCTTTACATCATTAGGATCAACTGGTCTGAGATAAGATGCTACATAAATTCCTTGATAAGTTTGAAAAAAATGTTCTCTATAAATACAACTAAAATAATCGTCTCTTAAGGGACGAGTAAAAACTTATCTGATCTTACCCAAATAATATTAAAATTAACTATTTTCTTTGTTTTCCTTATTAAATTTTGTGCTTTCAAAATATTTTGATTCTCTACTAGATAATTATTATGATTGTTGAAGCGATAATTATCTTGAATGTTAAGGAGTTGTTTAATGTGATTGAGCCTTCTTGGGTTTCTGTAACATTGCATTGTATAATTTTTTATAATTTTAATCTTTGGAACCTATTGATTGTTATCTTTTGTGCTGCACAGAAGTTGGGGCTTTTAAGTCAGAGGTTTTAGGTCTAACATCTGTAGCCATAGGTGATCGTTAAGTCTATTTAAACATATTCATTTCTAAGTTTGGAGTTACTTTAGTGACAAGTTGATTTAACAGTGATTAACTTTTTGAATAATTTCTAGTAGGTGTATCTCGCTTTTGTTGCAGCAATTAATTATACTTCTACATTGCTGCAACTAACTCTAGATTTGACATTTGTTTCTTCTTTTGTTGGTTCTCCCTACAAAATTGTTGCTTTAAGAATTCTTTCCCAAATATATTGCCATTTGAATTTGATTTAGTAGACATGTTTCTAACAGAATTAATGAGATCCAATTTTTATGTCTTCAGATTTTAACTTGCTTTCTGCAAGATATCGAACACATTATTGGTCTCAATTTGAGGCTTAGGCTTCATTATTTATATTATATAATAATTTACTAATTTTATATCAACCTTAAATATATATAATCATTGGTTAAAATTACAACATCAAATTGATTTTTTTCACTCTGATAACTTTTGAGAATACGAATATCTTTAAAAAATATAATTGTATTTTATTAATCCATTAAAAATGATTATTTATTTATTTTAATTTGTTCGTGATATAACACCTAGTTATTTTACTTCAGGATACTTTCTACCATTAAAATTTTTTAGTTTTAATTAGATGTTTACTCATTATTAAATAGTTGATTTATTCTTTAATTTGAGTTTCAATTAATTTAAAACATAGAATTATTGCACAAAAAAATTTGTGAGAAGAATATATAAAATTTACAGTAATGGCGGAGAGTTTTTTGCAAAAGAGATATTCTCTCTTATTTCAATTAAGATTTTTATAAATTTAAGTCACTTCTAAATTATTCTTCACTTTGAAAAATATATCTTTATTTTCGAGAATCAGTTATCAGGTTGATAGAAATATATAAGGGATATTTAGATTTGTTGTTAAAGATGTTTCGCTAAATATTCCTCTTGGAGAGTAGATTTAAAATAAGTAATCGAAGCTCTATCCTATTAATTATCAATTTGTATAATTGCTCATTAAGATTAAACCAAACTTAACTATCAACAATCCTTTTCAAGAGTATTGTTTATTATATGCCAGTATGAAATATGATGGATTTTCATTACTCTAATTAGATGAAACTATTTTTAGACTTTAGTAAGGTGATAAGTAGGGCTAAAAGCAAAATCAATAAATATTGATATGGAAACAAGATAATTGTTGGGTAATTTTTAAATGCAATAATTAATTATTGATGCTCAAAAACATTTTACAGCTAAAATAATAATAAGTTATTTATCTAATCAAATAACTACCCTAAAATAGATAAAAATTTATTAGTAAAGATGAATATTCACATTTTGATTGTCCCTCCTTATAATCATCAATTTAATCCAATAAAAAAAAATTAGGAATTAATGCAATAAATTATAATAGATAGTGATTCAAGAGCAAACTCAGCATAAAATAATTTTTTAAATTAGATATTAACAAAACTCAAACTAATTTGTATTTTGAGGACGATTAAATGTTAATTTAGATTAGAAATGGTAANTTTTGTTGGTTCTCCCTACAAAATTGTTGCTTTAAGAATTCTTTCCCAAATATATTGCCATTTGAATTTGATTTAGTAGACATGTTTCTAACAGAATTAATGAGATCCAATTTTTATGTCTTCAGATTTTAACTTGCTTTCTGCAAGATATCGAACACATTATTGGTCTCAATTTGAGGCTTAGGCTTCATTATTTATATTATATAATAATTTACTAATTTTATATCAACCTTAAATATATATAATCATTGGTTAAAATTACAACATCAAATTGATTTTTTTCACTCTGATAACTTTTGAGAATACGAATATCTTTAAAAAATATAATTGTATTTTATTAATCCATTAAAAATGATTATTTATTTATTTTAATTTGTTCGTGATATAACACCTAGTTATTTTACTTCAGGATACTTTCTACCATTAAAATTTTTTAGTTTTAATTAGATGTTTACTCATTATTAAATAGTTGATTTATTCTTTAATTTGAGTTTCAATTAATTTAAAACATAGAATTATTGCACAAAAAAATTTGTGAGAAGAATATATAAAATTTACAGTAATGGCGGAGAGTTTTTTGCAAAAGAGATATTCTCTCTTATTTCAATTAAGATTTTTATAAATTTAAGTCACTTCTAAATTATTCTTCACTTTGAAAAATATATCTTTATTTTCGAGAATCAGTTATCAGGTTGATAGAAATATATAAGGGATATTTAGATTTGTTGTTAAAGATGTTTCGCTAAATATTCCTCTTGGAGAGTAGATTTAAAATAAGTAATCGAAGCTCTATCCTATTAATTATCAATTTGTATAATTGCTCATTAAGATTAAACCAAACTTAACTATCAACAATCCTTTTCAAGAGTATTGTTTATTATATGCCAGTATGAAATATGATGGATTTTCATTACTCTAATTAGATGAAACTATTTTTAGACTTTAGTAAGGTGATAAGTAGGGCTAAAAGCAAAATCAATAAATATTGATATGGAAACAAGATAATTGTTGGGTAATTTTTAAATGCAATAATTAATTATTGATGCTCAAAAACATTTTACAGCTAAAATAATAATAAGTTATTTATCTAATCAAATAACTACCCTAAAATAGATAAAAATTTATTAGTAAAGATGAATATTCACATTTTGATTGTCCCTCCTTATAATCATCAATTTAATCCAATAAAAAAAAATTAGGAATTAATGCAATAAATTATAATAGATAGTGATTCAAGAGCAAACTCAGCATAAAATAATTTTTTAAATTAGATATTAACAAAACTCAAACTAATTTGTATTTTGAGGACGATTAAATGTTAATTTAGATTAGAAATGGTAATTCTATTGTTGAATGATTTCATACAATTTATATCTATAATTAAGGGTTGTAGGTATTCAATATTAGAATACGTAAAATTAAATATTGAAAAAAAACATTAAAAATTAATACATAAATTAATATGATGATGAATCATTTAAGAAATTGTGGAAAATTTTCAACTCTTGTGTTTGCTGACCATTCAAGTGGAAAATTATCCAAATCAACACTTAAAATCTTAAATGCTGCTAAACTATTGAACCAATAGATTTCTTTATTAGTAGCTAGCAATGATGCCAGTTCTGTGGTTGATTAAATCAAATCATCAGTACCTAGCAATGTTGTACACCAAGTACTAGTGGCACAACATGACTCATTTAAAGCACCTTAGGCAGATTTATTAGGCAATTTGGTTAAACAGTTGATTGATTAACATGGATTCACTAATTTTGTCACAAGCACCTCTACATTAGCAAAAGACTTTTTACCTAGAGTTGCTGTTAAATATGCAGCCCAACCTATAACAGATGTTATTGCTATAAATAATGAAGTATTTTTCAGACCTGTGTATGCAGGAAATGCAATTGCTTAAGTAAAATCAAATGATAAAGTCAAATTCATTTCCTTTAGACCTACAAATTTTGAAGAAGTAGATAATAATTAATAATTAGATTCAATAAGTTGGTGAAAAAGTATCAAATATTGTATAGGTGAAAGTGGAAAATACAAAATAAATGATTGAACATGTCTCTGATGAATTAGTATAAAGTGATAAACCAGAATTGACTACTGCTAAATTTGTATCTCTATTTTTTAATAATAGATTGTATCAGGAGGAAGAGGCTTGGGAAGCAAAGAAAATTTCTAAATTTTGGATGAATTAGCAAATGCTTTAGGTAATACAGCTATTGGTGCTTCTAGAGCAGCTGTTGATGCAGGATATGCTGCAAATGATTAATAAGTTGGACAAACAGGTAAAGTGGTTGCCCCTGAATTATACATTGCAGTAGGAATATCTGGAGCCATTCAGCATTTGGCAGGAATGAAAGATTCAAAAGTGATTGTAGCTATCAATAAAGGTATTTTTAAATGAAATCAACTTTATAGATTAAGAAGCTCCAATTGTAAGTGTAGCTGATTATACAATTGTTGATGACTTGTTTAAAGTAGTGCCAGAGTTAACAAAGAAAATAAAAGAAATTAAATAATGATATAAATGACGTAATTATATAAATAATAATAATGAATAAATACATAATATTGTTGATACTTTGCAGTATATGCTTTAGTTCAAGTTTATCTTAGTAAGAGAAATTCTTTTGCAAATAATGTCATAAGTTTGTTCATACAATTTAAAAGGTAGAACATTTTTGGGATAAATCAATTGTATGGTTTTTGGAACTTGTTGCAGAAGGATATTGTTCTTATGCTAAAATTGAAAAGCATTCAGTTTGTAAAGGAGCAATTCATGAAATGACACCTGTAATTTTTGAAGGAATCTAAAAAAGATTTTTAGATGAAGATTTCATTTGTCCATTAATTAGATGGTGTCCTAAAGTTTATGAAGAATTAAAACTTGAGGATTATGTTTCTAATATTTTAAAAGATAAACCATTAAATACATAATGGCCAGAAATAGATGGAACTGATACTATTGAAATTATACATGTTAGTGATATTCATACAGACTTACTTTATAAAGAAGGTACTTTGCCTAAATGCGATGAACCATTATGCTGCAGAGAAGAATTTAAGGCTAAAGAAAATGATCCAAAAGCAGGATATTGGGGAAGCGCTGCTGTTTGTGATTTACCAGAGAGAACTTTTGAGTAATTTGTAAATTTCTTGAAAACAGATGTAATTAATCCAAATAAAAAAACATTCTTATTTTGGACTGGAGATAATGTTCAACATGATGTTTGGAAATAAGGAAGAGAATATAATATAAAAAATTCAAGAAGAATCACTGAAATATTCACTAAAGGTGATTTAGGCATTACATTCATTCCATAAATCGGAAATCATGAAGCATTTCCTGTGAATCAATATGATTATATGACTGAAAAAGATAGCAATTTAAGAGTTGAATTTTCAAATATGTGGAGAGATTGGCTTGGAGATGAAACTGCAGAGTTTTTCAAACAAAATGGATTTTATGCGAAAGAATTTGGTAATTTTAAGGTTATTGCATTTGATTCACAAATTTGTAATCCTGATAATTGGTATTTACTTAAAGACCCAACAGATCCAACAGGATTTTTATAATGGACAGAATAAGAATTAAAAGAATCAGAATTGAAAGATCAAGCTGTTTATTTCACTGCTCATATTTATACATCAAGCTGTCTTGTTCCATGGGCTAGAAGATTTAATGCTTTAGTTGAAAGATATGCTTATATAGTTAGAGGATAAATATATGGACATGCTCATGGAGAATTTTTTAATCTCTATAAAGATTAAAATGGAGAACCAATGAACATTGCTTACATCAGTTCATCCTTAACTACTTATACTTATAAATTACCAAGCTTTAGGAAGTTTATTGTAGATGCAAAAACGATGATTCCCTTGAATTATTATGAATATCGTCTAGACTTAGAGAAATATAATTAAATTGGAAAAGATGCTGTTTTGAAATGGGATATTGCATTTGATTTTCTTTCAGAATATGGAGCAACAAGAATGTATCCAGCAGATTTGTTTGCCATAACAGAAAGATTATTTAAAGAACCTGAATTAGTTAAAAAGTTTGATTTTAATTCTAATTCTGGAACTGGTATAAGTGGAGATTCTGTAAAAATTATTAAATAATTTATAGGCTAGATATTTATATTGTAAACTAAATCACAGCATTAATGATGACCTACATTTATGTTTAGGAGAAAAACTAAAAAAAGATTGGACTGAATATATATCTCCAGGTTGGAGAAGGAGAATTGTTTATAAGTCAAAGAAAGAATCCAAGAAGTCTAAAAAGTAAAAGAAACAAAAGAAATAGCAATAATGATAAATAATAAAATAATATTTAAATATGCATGATACTTATTTTGAATAGACTTTATAATTGCTTAGTATGTTTTATAATAATGTTAAGATAAATAAATAAAATATTCAGAAATTTTTAATTTGTAGATACACCATTTGGTTAAGAAACTTAAGTAAATAATTATTACTAACAATTTGCATATAAATAGGTTATACCAAATCAACTTTGATAAATATCTCAATTTTAATCAATTATAGAATCGAATAAAATCAACTAAAATAAGATTTAATATTATAATTGTTAATGATTATTTATTATAATGATATTCCAATATTATTGTTCTTATCATAATCTTATTCCAATTATGTTGTGAGATTAACATCATCAGAAATCAAATTAATTCCAATCTTTCATGCCCTAGTAATATAAGTTTTGTGATATTTCGATTATTTATTAAATGAAGTTGACTCTATCCAATATTAACAACTAATTATATTAATCTTTAAAATTACTCTAAATATTTTGGTTGCCAGGTTACTTTATATAATATGTCATAAGATTAGTATAATGTTATTATAAAAATAATGAATAAATACATCATATTGTTGATACTTTGCAGTATATGTTTTAGTTCTAGTTTATCATAGTAAGAGAAATTCTTTTGCAAATAATGTCATAAGTTTGTTCATACAATTTAAAAGGTAGAACATTTTTGGGATAAATCAATTGTATGGTTTTTGGAACTTGTTGCAGAAGGATATTGTTCTTATGCTAAAATTGAAAAGCATTCAGTTTGTAAAGGGGCAATTCATGAAATGACACCTGTAATTTTTGAAGGAATTTAAACAAGATTTTTAGATGAAGATTTCATTTGTCCATTAATTAGATGGTGTCCTAAAGTTTATGAAGAATTAAAACTTGAGGATTACGTTTCTAATATTTTAAAAGATAAACCATTAAATACATAATGGCCAGAAATAGATGGAACTGATACTATTGAAATTATACATGTTAGTGATATACATACAGACTTATTTTATAAAGAAGGAAGTGCTTAAAATTGTGATGAACCATTATGTTGTAGAGAAGGGTTTAAACTAAAAGATTATAATCCTAAAAAAGCCGGTTATTGGGGAAGTGCTGCAGTCTGTGATTTACCAGAGAGAACTTTTGAGTAATTCGTAAATTTCTTGAAAACAGATGTAATTAATCCAAATAAAAAAACATTCTTATTTTGGACTGGAGATAATGTTCAACATGATGTTTGGAAATAAGGAAGAGAATATAATATTATTAATTCAAAAAGAATTACAGAAATTTTTAAAAAAGCTAATTTGGGTATACCAATAATACCCTAAGTTGGGAATCATGAAATGTTTCCAGTTGATCAATATGATTACATGACTGAAAAAGATAGCAATTTGAGAGTTGAATTTTCAAATATGTGGAGAGATTGGCTTGGAGATGAAACTGCAGAGTTTTTTAAAAAGAATGGATTTTATGCAAAAGAATTTGATAATCTTAAGGTTATTGCATTTGATTCACAAATTTGTAATCCTGATAATTGGTATCTACTTAAAGATCCTACTGATCCTACTGGATTCTTAGAATGGGCAGAATAAGAATTGAAAGACTCCGAATTAAAAGATCAAGCTGTGTATTTTACTGCTCATATTTTCACTTAAGAATGTATGGTGCCTTGGGCTAGAAGATTTAATGCATTAGTTGAAAGATATGCTTACATAGTTAGAGGATAAATATATGGACATGCTCATGGAGAATTTTATAATTTATACAAAGATCAAAATGGAAAACCAATGAATATTGCTTATATTAGTTCTTCATTAACTACTTATAATAATAAATTACCAAGCTTTAGGAAGTTTATTGTAGATGCAAAAACGATGATTCCCTTGAATTATTATGAATATCGTTTAAATTTGGATAAATACAATTATATTGGTAAGGATGCTATTTTAAAATGGGATATTGCATTTGATTTTCTTTCAGAATATGGAGTAACAAGAATGTATCCATCTGATTTATATGCGATCACAGAAAGATTATTTACAGAACCTGAATTAGTCAAAAAATTTGATTTCAATTAGAATTCAGGCACTGGACTTAGTGGAGATACTGTATTAGTTTTATGTATATTTAGGCTTAATACTTATATTGTTTATTAAATAATAGTATTAAAGATGATTTAAAAGTTTGTAAAGGCGAAACTCTTACAAAAGATTGGACTTAATATATTTCACCAGGATGGAGAAAGAGAATTGATACTTCTGGAGAGAAAGAAGAGAAGAAATAGAAAAAATAATAGAAAAAATAAAAGAAATAGAAAAAATGATTTATATTATTATTATAATAATATTAAAATTATATTATGGATTTTGAAGAATAAGAAGATGAATAGATGAATGATAATTTATTTAATGTATAAAAAGAAGAGGATTTGAAAATTGAATATTAATAATTGTAATAGAATGACTATGAAAATAAGACAGGTTCAAAATTATTGCAAAAAAATAAAGAATATTAGAAATCATTATTATAATATAAATAATATNTTATTAATTCAAAAAGAATTACAGAAATTTTTAAAAAAGCTAATTTGGGTATACCAATAATACCCTAAGTTGGGAATCATGAAATGTTTCCAGTTGATCAATATGATTACATGACTGAAAAAGATAGCAATTTGAGAGTTGAATTTTCAAATATGTGGAGAGATTGGCTTGGAGATGAAACTGCAGAGTTTTTTAAAAAGAATGGATTTTATGCAAAAGAATTTGATAATCTTAAGGTTATTGCATTTGATTCACAAATTTGTAATCCTGATAATTGGTATCTACTTAAAGATCCTACTGATCCTACTGGATTCTTAGAATGGGCAGAATAAGAATTGAAAGACTCCGAATTAAAAGATCAAGCTGTGTATTTTACTGCTCATATTTTCACTTAAGAATGTATGGTGCCTTGGGCTAGAAGATTTAATGCATTAGTTGAAAGATATGCTTACATAGTTAGAGGATAAATATATGGACATGCTCATGGAGAATTTTATAATTTATACAAAGATCAAAATGGAAAACCAATGAATATTGCTTATATTAGTTCTTCATTAACTACTTATAATAATAAATTACCAAGCTTTAGGAAGTTTATTGTAGATGCAAAAACGATGATTCCCTTGAATTATTATGAATATCGTTTAAATTTGGATAAATACAATTATATTGGTAAGGATGCTATTTTAAAATGGGATATTGCATTTGATTTTCTTTCAGAATATGGAGTAACAAGAATGTATCCATCTGATTTATATGCGATCACAGAAAGATTATTTACAGAACCTGAATTAGTCAAAAAATTTGATTTCAATTAGAATTCAGGCACTGGACTTAGTGGAGATACTGTATTAGTTTTATGTATATTTAGGCTTAATACTTATATTGTTTATTAAATAATAGTATTAAAGATGATTTAAAAGTTTGTAAAGGCGAAACTCTTACAAAAGATTGGACTTAATATATTTCACCAGGATGGAGAAAGAGAATTGATACTTCTGGAGAGAAAGAAGAGAAGAAATAGAAAAAATAATAGAAAAAATAAAAGAAATAGAAAAAATGATTTATATTATTATTATAATAATATTAAAATTATATTATGGATTTTGAAGAATAAGAAGATGAATAGATGAATGATAATTTATTTAATGTATAAAAAGAAGAGGATTTGAAAATTGAATATTAATAATTGTAATAGAATGACTATGAAAATAAGACAGGTTCAAAATTATTGCAAAAAAATAAAGAATATTAGAAATCATTATTATAATATAAATAATATCTTGAAAGAAAAATTGCAAAGAAATAATAGCAAATATAATAATTAGATTAGATTTTATAAACGATACCGAAATAGGAAGAAGAAATTAATTTTAAAGAAAAATGCTCAGCTTATTTAACTTTGGAAATATTGCATGATTCAAAATAAAGGAAAATATTTTCATATGCTGTTAATGATTTTGAAATGTTAAAGTAAGAGAATCCTCCTCATTATGTGAAATTAATTTAAGATTTAAAAAAAAAAGATTTAAAACTGAAGAAATTAGATTATACTTCTCCAAGATTTAGGTAATAATGTAAAAAGAAATAAAAATAACATATTTTGACATAAGCAATCTAACCAAAAAATACTTAAATAAGAGAATTAATTATAAAAGAAGTTGTAAATTGTTTACCAATAGAAGGGAATGAAATTTAATGGTCTTTATTACCAATTCATGCAACATAATTATTAAATATATATACAAGTGACTAAAATAGTATTGAAGCTATAGAAATTTATAGAGTTTGGCTTAAGAGATATCATTAATTGTACAACAATTAATTTACATTATAGGAAGATAATAAGCTAGTAGAATTAGTTTAAATGATAGGAGATAATTAATGGGCATATTTAGCCAAACTTATAACAACAAAGACTTCAATTTAATTGAGAGAAAGATGGTTTAAATTTTTAAATAAGAATATAAAAAGACAAAGATGGAAAATATTGGAAGATTTAAAATTAATAATATTAGTAGACTATTTTGGTGTTGGATAATGGAATAAATTACATCAGTTTTTCAAAAATAGAACAGAAGTTTAAATAAGAGAAAGGTGGTGTAATGTATTAGATCCTGAATTAGAAATAAGACCATGGACAGAAGAAGAAGATTAAGAACTATTGAGTTTGAATTAAAAATATGGAAATGCGTGGAGTGTAGTTAGTTTAAAGCTAAAAAGAACTGATAATGAATGTAGAAGAAGATTTTAATAAATCAAAAAGTGATTATGAATTTATATACTTAATATATTGTATGATTGATAATCCATTCGAATTTGAAAGAGATTCTAAAAAGTTTACTAATTCTTTGGAACATGATAGAAATGCAACTGAAGAAGAAGATGATAAATAATAGTAAACAAGATTAACTTAACTTTATATTGGTAAATCTGCAGGTAGATATGGATTATTGAGAAAATTAGAAGAGTAGAGTAAATTTATTTTATTTAGCTTAAGCTGAAAAATTAGCAGTAGAAAGAGATCTTGTATTCTCTTAGGATTTAAAATCTAAAAGTTATAATTTAAAATCAGATCCAATTTAATGTCATTTGAAACAGTTTAATCCAAGAATGCTTGAAAAAAATTATTAAGATTCTTTATAAAAAGCTTATAAAATAAAGAGTATTTTGAATGAAAAAAAAGAAACACTTTAGGATTTTGTTGAAAAGAAAAGAGAAATTTGTTTAACAAATCTAAATATTTTAACAAAAAAAGAAGAAACAAATAGACTTGAAGATTTTATAAAAAATGAATAGGAATCATTGTAAGCCAGAAAATTATATTTTAAAAATGATTGTGAATTAGTAAAGAGATTTATGAGTGAAGTTAAATCTCAAGCAGATTAAGCTGCAATATTAGCTGATAAAGAAATGAGAAGGAAGGAAGAAGTTAAAGTTGAAGTTGCTAGAATATTAGCCTAAATTGATAGATTGAAATTATTGAAAAGTAAACTTTAAGATGAATATGATAAATTAGATAAATATAGATAATTTTTAGAAAAAATTAAAGTAATTATTAATTTCTATTATTTTAGTAACACTATAAAACTAAATTTTCAGAGTTAGAAAAAGATATTATATTACCATAATCTATATCTAATTCTAAAAAGACCTTATTCTTAACAGGTGTTAATGTTTTAGAATCTGAAATAAGATCAAAGGAATAAATAGAGTCATTGCAATTTGAATATAAGCAAAATAAAATGGCTGATATTGTTATAGAGATTTTGGATGCAATAGAGGAAGGTAATCTAAGAAATATGTAAAATCAAAGAGATTCTGAAGAAGAAATTGAATAAAAAAAGAGGGAGGCTGAACGTTTAAAAGAAATCTTTGTTATTCATTAAAAAGAAAATGAATAAAGATTAAAAATATTAGAGAAGTAATATGTTATGCATCAACAATATTAACAGGAATAAAAAAAATAAGAAAAAGTTGATTAAAATAAATTAGAATTTGCAGAAGGTGAAAACTTGGATATGGATTAAATAGGAAAACGAATAATAGAAATCTATGCAGATGTATCTAAAAAAGATCAAGATCCTTTAATCAAAAAATTAGGTATAGATTCAAAGTTGTTAAAAATTACTTTAAATGTAATTTATATTATTATTATTGATTAGTAACTCGAAAAGATTGTTTTAGAACTATCAGAATATAAATTGTAATTTATCATGAAATCTAAATAAGATTATTTAGATGCAGAAAAGAAAATCAATCAAAAAAAAAAGTAAATTGTTTTATAAATTCATTCATAGAGAATAAAGATAAACAATTTAAAAAGATGAAGAAAAGAAAAAGTAAATAATTGAGAGAAGAAGAAAGAAAGAAGAACAAATGGCTAACTTTTATAGAGGGAGAAAGGATATGCGCAGAAATTATCCTGAAGAAAAAGTAATTGTGGAATAGGTTGTAGAAGACAATGGTGAGAATGACGATGAAAAATATTTTTAAGAGAATTATGAACTTGTCTATGTACCATCATAAAAAACTGATAATATTTCATCATCATAATTAGTATAATAATAATAATGAACTAATTTTTGGATATGTTAGATTTGTTAATTCTACACAGTGCATCTATTTAATTCATCAAAATTCCATCATCATAATAATCAAAATAATGTTAAAAAATATTGAATTAAATTATAAAAGATAACTTTTTTAATTCACCTGAAATAAGAAGATTGAATAATAGATTTAGTTGATAAAAGAACTTTAGTATAATTTAATATTGAATAAAAAGGAGGTTGAATATATTGGATAATATTTATGTCATCATAAAATTGATTAAATTTATGGATGAAATAATTAATTATTATGTTAACAGGAAATCTTAATATTATATATAAATAAGATATTCGAAGAAGGGTGTCATAAGGATATGATAATATTAAAAAATATCATTAATTATGAATTATCATTTAGAAATCCTAAATTCATTTTTTTAAATAATAATAAAAAAGAGGAAGTTTATGATAACAATATTAGAGATACAATGTAAAATCAATGGATTGAATGATAAATACAAATATAAATTGATAGTATAATATAGTAATAATAAATAATTAGTATTAATGAATTATTTTGAGAATATAAAGTAAAGAGTTTAAAATCTGAAATAATTATTTAATATAATTTTTATTTATTAAATGATGTCTATTGGGTAATTATGATATTCCCTTGATTATTAAACAATCTTATCTCTGATAATCATATATATATATATTTATTCAAAAATCATCATCGATATCTTTAATAATATCAGTTCGAGCACGTCCTCCTTAAACTATAAATTTATAGTAATTATTTTACATGTTTGATATTTCACATCATTGAGATTGTCAAATGCAGCATCTCCAAATAATAAGATTTAAGACTCTTCAATAGTATGCTTAATGTAGTCATTTAGAATGTTCTAGATTAGTTCCCAATCAGGGCAAAGTTGTTTAGATAAGTTTGAACAACTTTTACACCTTTAATTAAATTATATTTCATTTGTGCATTTACAGAAATCTTTAAACTGAATCTCAACATTCAAATCAGCAGGAAATCTATCATCTTTTTGTAATTTGGAAGGATCTAAATCTTCATTCCTTAAAATCAATTTACTTATTCATTTAATATAATTTTACTTGTCTTCAATAAAGGCAGTATTAAAAGAAACTCGAAACATTGGTTCTACTTCAAAATGGCCTCATTATTGTTTTTTATAATAATACCATTATGATTAAATTTAATCATTATATCTCCTATTGCCAAAAAAGGTTTGCCTATATTAATTCTAATTAATTCTATATCTTTCAACATTAAATCTTTAGCTTTCTTTTAATCTTTATACTAANCATCTATTTAATTCATCAAAATTCCATCATCATAATAATCAAAATAATGTTAAAAAATATTGAATTAAATTATAAAAGATAACTTTTTTAATTCACCTGAAATAAGAAGATTGAATAATAGATTTAGTTGATAAAAGAACTTTAGTATAATTTAATATTGAATAAAAAGGAGGTTGAATATATTGGATAATATTTATGTCATCATAAAATTGATTAAATTTATGGATGAAATAATTAATTATTATGTTAACAGGAAATCTTAATATTATATATAAATAAGATATTCGAAGAAGGGTGTCATAAGGATATGATAATATTAAAAAATATCATTAATTATGAATTATCATTTAGAAATCCTAAATTCATTTTTTTAAATAATAATAAAAAAGAGGAAGTTTATGATAACAATATTAGAGATACAATGTAAAATCAATGGATTGAATGATAAATACAAATATAAATTGATAGTATAATATAGTAATAATAAATAATTAGTATTAATGAATTATTTTGAGAATATAAAGTAAAGAGTTTAAAATCTGAAATAATTATTTAATATAATTTTTATTTATTAAATGATGTCTATTGGGTAATTATGATATTCCCTTGATTATTAAACAATCTTATCTCTGATAATCATATATATATATATTTATTCAAAAATCATCATCGATATCTTTAATAATATCAGTTCGAGCACGTCCTCCTTAAACTATAAATTTATAGTAATTATTTTACATGTTTGATATTTCACATCATTGAGATTGTCAAATGCAGCATCTCCAAATAATAAGATTTAAGACTCTTCAATAGTATGCTTAATGTAGTCATTTAGAATGTTCTAGATTAGTTCCCAATCAGGGCAAAGTTGTTTAGATAAGTTTGAACAACTTTTACACCTTTAATTAAATTATATTTCATTTGTGCATTTACAGAAATCTTTAAACTGAATCTCAACATTCAAATCAGCAGGAAATCTATCATCTTTTTGTAATTTGGAAGGATCTAAATCTTCATTCCTTAAAATCAATTTACTTATTCATTTAATATAATTTTACTTGTCTTCAATAAAGGCAGTATTAAAAGAAACTCGAAACATTGGTTCTACTTCAAAATGGCCTCATTATTGTTTTTTATAATAATACCATTATGATTAAATTTAATCATTATATCTCCTATTGCCAAAAAAGGTTTGCCTATATTAATTCTAATTAATTCTATATCTTTCAACATTAAATCTTTAGCTTTCTTTTAATCTTTATACTAAGATCACATAAATAATACTTCTAATTTATCAGTATATTTTAAAGTTTTGCAAGACTTTTCATAAGTATAAATTTCTAAAAATGGTTTACATTATTTATCTTGAATATCTGGTATACCATGAATAACTATAGAAGTTAAGTATTTGATAGGTGGATATATATTTCTTTAGAATAATATTCTAATTATTAACAGATAATGTTAACTTTTCAAAGTATTTCACATATCTCAATTAAGTTGGCATAGTAATACCACCTCCTTTTAAATGTTTCTATTTATCATAATAAAACAATGCTTCTTCAGCATTAGAAAAGCGACCACTATATAATAGATAACAACATATTGCAGTTCCAGTTCTTCCAATTCCGTTAATACAATGCACAACAATTACATTTGATAATTTTGCTTAGAATAGATTCTTAAAAATACATGATAAAAAATCATCAATATGTTTACACAACATAAACAAATATCCTAAATTAGGTGTAGATTTCTCTTCCCATGGCTAAAATAATAAGGGCTATCATATACAAAAGTATAAATTTTTCCTTTGAATTTAGTATGATCATATTGTATCCCACTTAAATTATAAATCTGATAATCATTATGGTGACGTTATTACAAATATTATGCAACCTAATAATAATATATATTATAATCCTACATCATCTATATTATTTTTTTATCCTGAATTCCTATCATTTGGAAAGGACATTGCAAGAATTCTAGGACATATATATGTAATATCAAGCAAATCAGAGGAGATAATAGTAGGCTTTTTGTTTTTTTAAGTTGTCTTATTTGATTTTATATTCATATTATTATAAATAATAACTGTTAATAGTGTATTCAGTATTAACTATTGTAATATAATAAAGTGAAATATTTAATATATGTTTAATTAACTTAAAATTTATATATTATATATATTATTCAAAAGTGTATCAATTTTAGAGTAATAATTGAGAGATTAAAAAATATTGTTATTTTTTGAATAAAAAAACGTTGATGATAAGAATATATCTTAAAATTTATATCAAATGTAGATTCAATCATAAAATATGAATTTATGTCACAATTATTAAATATTTTTTATGCTTATTCTAATTTTCTTAAATTTTATAATAGGCATCTTGTGTGTGAATAGAAATGAAAGCAAAGTAATATTGACTGATTTGTAATATTATGTTTAAATGTTAGCTACAATAAAAATTCGCCAGTTTATGTGATAGCTCCTTATTATGAATCATTTACTATTGACTTATTTAATTCTAAAGATGCCTTAGGAAACACAAGCTTTAGTAATGTAAATTCATCAAACTAAAATTTGACATATAAAGTCACTTCTTTTATAGAAACTACATCAGAATCTATAGAGTAAAATGTTGATGCATCTTAGGTCAGCATTTTGTCCAATTGATGAATGGGGGCCTTTATATCAACCTGCTCGTTTCTATTTAAGTTTAACTGCTTTAGATCTTCTTTTTTATAATCAAACTGATGATAAAATAGTATAGGTCTAAACCAGATTGCATAATGATTTGTAAGATTTGGATGAAAATTTTTAAAATATTTCTTGTTATTCTATATTTTAATTTAGAAAGGATAACTAATTTGGATTAGATTGTAATTTAGATAATAATGCTACAATACTAATTTTTGACTTAATATTTGATGAGCAAACATTAATTATAGTTAATTTTACCTATAATTCTTACTATTATTATTCATATGAAGATGAGGACAATTAGAATTTTCTAAAGAAATGTTAATTCAGAAAAACAATAAATGCAAATATTCTCGATATCACTAATGACATAAAATATGAATTTATCCAATATTGTCCTAGTTTATTCAATTAAAAAGCAATCACAAACGATTTTTTAATTATTTATCATGAAATAATAAATACTCAAAACAATAATATAGTATTGTAGGCCTTTAAAGCAAACACTACAGATTTAGAATCTTGTAATTTGGATAAGAATTTAATGATTGAATAGATATTTATAAACTCAATGATAAATGGATATAATAATTAAACTTGGAATGTTGGATTTTTATTTTAGTTATCACCAAAAATATGTAAATGCAATATTTAAGAAGTTTATGCATCTCATTACAATATATTATGTAAGAGCACATTAATAGAGCGTATTTAATTTGATATTTTATAGTTTATCAGCCTAATTAAATAAGATAAGTACAAACTCTAAATGATGAAGTAATTCTTGTTACTGGTACTAATATGGCTATCCTTGTTATTTATTTAGAAAGATCTTATTAATCAGAGAACTACTTTACTATTAGTTATAAAGAGATTTTTGAACCTGGTTATCTATTAGTAGATGTGTCTATTACTAGTCAATATTTAGCAGTTATTATGACTGATTCTCCATTTGCATAATAATTATCTCCTTTCTATTCTAAACCAAATTTATATTGTTCTAAATAAGCATCTGGAGAAACTAAAAATATATTTAAGATTTTTTATTTAAATGGTGAATATAAAACTGTTTATTATGAATCAAACACATTTAATTAGTTTCAAAGTTTCTTTTAAAGTTTAAATTAAATAGATTTTGGAAATTTCATTCTTTTATATAATTTTTTTAATTAGAAACTAAATGTCATTACATTATTTGAGAAGTACTATTATTATCATATTTATATAATAGATAGATGAATGTATCTTATTAATTGGGATAAGGTAACATAACTTAAACTTATAATTAGTAAATCACTCCAATTATTGTAAGTTATTTTAATTATTATTAAGATTTCTTTTAATATTTCAGGTGGATATACAGTATTTGATCAAGTCAAGAATATTTATAAATATAATTTTGTAACATTTTCTAGAAATATCATTTTATGTTTTATTAAATTAGAAGATAGCAATTTCTAATTGATTGCTTAGGTACATAAACTTGATGAAAAAGATTAATAATAATTATTATAATGTCCAATAAGCAAAGATATATATGTATTCTAGGAAATTATAAATTCTATAGACTTATTTGAAGGAGTAATTATTATATTAATTTTTTATAGATTATGGGTCCATTATTAAATTTTAATTATATACCTAATTATAATGTTAGTAGATATTATCCATATTATTAAAATCACAAGGCAATTATAAAATAAAATCAATTATTTGAGAAGCACAATAATACAAGATATGTATTTAATGTATTAAGTGCTGTAAATAAAAATATATTTATAACTTCTAATATTTTTGGAATAGTAGAGATCTTATTAACATATTCTAAGAATTTAAATCATTTAACAACTTCATAATCTGTCATCATAAATAAAACATGTATCATTAATGCAAAATAATATGTATTCATTATAAATCTCTATTCTTTTAGCAAAGTTTTGAAAAATAATTCCCAATTGATATAGAAATATAATAGTGTATTGAAGAATAATATAGAAATTTAACTTAATACTTGAATTAAGTTGATTACTTTAAATAGTTTTAATATTTTGATATAGCAGTATAATATTAAGGTTCTATGTAATAATATCATTTTTATATTAAATTAGTATTGTATTTTGTCAAAATAAAAATATATTGAATGGACAATAGAGATGTTAGAACATCTAAGAAATGATTAAAGAAAATGATAACATACTGTAAATTTATATTCTTCAAGGACCTATAAAAAATGAGAGAGTTACTTATTTCTTAACTATACTATATTATTCTAGTTAAACTAAGTTATATTTCTATGATTTAGATCTTTTTGTAAATAATAATTATAAAATTTTAGTTGCCAAGTGATATTATTCCAGATATTAAATACCATGAAATATATTGTTCTAATATATTAGATACTCATAGTCAAATTATATCTTTTAGATATACATATGTTAATTAATAAACCTTATTTATATTGTTTTCTGATGCAAGGATTGTTGTTTATACTCCTGGACCCACATTATCAACAAAGGAAGTTAAATTTTATAATTTTACATCTACATTAACTAATTTTGTACTTAACATCACTGAATGTTAGAATAATGATTTCTTAGGATTTGAAATTACTAAATATTTCTAATCAAAATTAGCAAAGTAATATTTGGTTGTTTGGTGTTAAGAAAATTAAAATGGCAATTTTATACCTATTATATTACAATACATAATTACTAATATTAATTAAATAAATTTTTGGAGAAGACTTCCTCATTATGATACTATATTAAGTAATAAATCAAAAATCTTGATATCTGGTTTAATATTATATGTTCCTGTTATTACAAAAAGTGTCTATAATGATTACTTTTAAAAGTATTACATTTACAATTTGGAAGACTATACTGCAAGATCTCTTGTTGAGAAAATTGAAATTGAGAAGAGGAAGAATGAATAAATTGTAAATAATATATAACATTTATCGTAGATAACATATCCTATAAGCAACTTAATGAATTCAATATTAGCTGGATCTTCTATAAGTTTAACTTTAATTATTACAGAGAAGAAATTTGAAATATATTATTTGAATTAGAAGGCAGAATTTATCTTTCATCTCCAATAATAATTTATTCCCTATTATAATGATGCCCCATTTTTATTGGTTATTGGTGTATTTTAATCATAAAAAACAAATGTTTTATATCGGTAATTAATAAATAATAATATTAGAAATTACACTTTGGTATATAATTTTTCAAGTACTTAGATCTCTTTTGCATATAATTATTCATCTACATACAAGGTAGAAATTAATTATGATTAACTAATACCAACTGGAGGTTTTTATTAATACCTCTTTTTAGTTAATGTAAATACAATTATAAATTTGATAGTAATCTTTCTTCAATGGTCCAATTGCTTCATATAATTATTAATCTGACCAAAAGAATTTATCAATTATTCCATCTCCATATTTATAGATGAATAAATACTTAGGTAGTTATATGGAAGAAGTGTCTTATTTTGGAGAAGTTAATTAAATTATAGATGTTGGAGATGAAATATATAGAGGTTTATACAACTAAAATGTTGTAAATAGTAAGTTATATTTTAATATATCTAGTTTCTTAATATAATGATTTAATAATTGTATTGACTGATTTTTATGTGTTATTTTATCAAAAGAATTCTATTCCAGATGTAAATAGATCGTGTATATATTCTGATTACACATAAAATTAACAATAAAATAATTCAGGATTATGTTCAATAAGATTGATTCGTTATCATTCATTTAAATAAAATAGTTCATTCTTATTTTGTCAAATGTAATTAAATGGAGTAAATGTATTAATCATAGTATGTTAACAGAAATACTTACATAAATTATATGATAAAATTTCATTTGAAGATAAAGAAAATATCTAATAATTTATATACATAGAGTATTCTTATGTTAGAATAAATAATACTATTTCTATTATATAATATATTGTTAATGATAGGTAATTTTGCTATTGCTTTTTCAATGATTTATAACCTTTTTTTTATGACAATTAAATTTATTAAATGATCAAAACTGGATATCAAAAATTGAATTCATATTTTGGAATATATCAAATAGTAGTTACAGATAATAAAACTATACAATTTATTTAGTATAATTCATATCCTAACTTAAATGATTCATAACCATTATAATATTCATAAGATTATGCTTTATCTGTAATTGAATATTAATAGATTCAATATTTGTACTTAATACTTTTATAACCATATAATATTTTTGTATTGGTTATTAATATGACAGATGGTTTTCCTGTAAATGGGCCAGGAAAAAACTTGATTTTTAATAAAAATGAAGAATATGTGCAATTTGAAAAGGCAATTTTTATATAGAGTATTAATCATTTTCAACCACACATTATTAATGATTCCTAAATGTATTAAACTATAGCAGTTGGAAATAATAATTAAATCTATGAGATTATTTTTAATGTTTTAACATTCTAAGCTAAATTACAATATACTTTTTATTAATATTTGTTATGTCATCATAACTTTTTGTCACGTCCATAAATTGAACTTTAGTATTCAAATGATACAATATTCTATTTGGTTACATAATGTTTATCCAATTAATTTGAATATCAATCTATTTAAGTAGAGATGACATATTTACTAAATGAATTAAACACTAATATAGTTTATACATAACTTTTCATTAGTATATTTTAATAAATTATTATTAATTTAGGAAATTACAGTAAAAACTATTCAAGGCCAGTCGAGATATTAGAACCATTTTTGGTAAACCCATAAGAATTACATTTATAAAAAATTCAATTATATTTATCAATAGATACTTATACTAATACATCTAAATCACATATTTTGATAACAAACAATACATATTTTATGATTGATCTTATACTTTATACTGAAAATGGATATTATTTATATTATCCAATTTAATCAGCAAATGAAGATAGAGTAATTAAATAATATTAAATTTATTAGGATCATTCAATATACTTGAATATTACTGCATATAATTCTTATTCAAGTTGTTTAGCAGAATTTTAATTAGCATGGGTTTAATAAGATAGTTAAGTGAATAGTTTAGCTTGGTTTTATGCAGTCTTATCTTTATTGTTGTTACTTATTTTGATTGTGATTATAGTTGTTGTTTATGGCTATTGTTAAAAATAGAGTTAGATTGGTAAATAAGATAAAGATCTTCCTTTGGAAAGGATAGGAGATGATTAAAGTGAATATGGTGTTGAATTATAGGGAGCTGCATATAATTAATTGATGTTAGGAGATGTGTTTAAAGATTTATTAAGAAGTAATAGAGGTAAAAAATAGACAGTCTCATATTTGGATGAATTATAAGATTGAATTATATATTAATATTTATTTATATATGGGTTGTGGATTGAAGAAGGAAAAGAAGGAGAGTAATAATGAAATTGCTTCTTTGAAACCCTTAATCAAATTCAAGATCACATTTTCTAATATCAAGATCAAAAATATACCTCTTTAAAAAGCTAAAGTTCATTTTTAAATTGCAAATTAAGAATGTTTCTAAACATAAATTTCATAGAATAATCCTAACCCACATTGGAGATAAACATTTAGATCATTTCATGAAAGTGATTTGGAAACTTTAAAATAAGAATTCTTCAAAATTGTATGCTACTCTAATTTATAAAGAGTGTCTTTTGTGCTGAAAAAAATAAATGTTTTGCTTATGTTGTATAAAATATGTGGGAAGTAGCAAATGGTCCTATTCATTATGATTTGTTTCTAGAATCCACTAAGGCTAATTCATCTAGAATTACATTTGATTTGAGAATGGTATAAATGACAACTTTAAAAATTCAAAGCAAATAAGTAATGTGTGAACTTAAAGATTAATTGATGGAATAAGCATATAATTTTCAATTAAAAGTTAGAGTATCATATTCATAACTATAATTAAGTCTCATTAAGTAGATTACTATAGTGATTTCTCTCCTAATTATTTAAATCATTATTTATACCGTTAATCTTCAATTAAATAATATGGATACATAGATTCCAAAGAAAAACTAAGAAGTGAATCTGATGAATTTCAATTAGTTAGAGATATCTTTGATTCATCTATGGATGAAAACATTTAGGTGGATCTTAAGAGTTGTTATTTAAAAAAGAATGGACTTAAAAATGATTAAGATATAATCATTAAAAAATCTAAATCTAACAATTAACTCAATACAATGATACATCTTTCAACTAATCAATCCTAAACTAATAAATCATTAAATTCTAGAAGACCCTACTCAACAATGGATTTAATAACAAAAAAGGATATTTTATGGGAATTTAAAGTATAAGAAAATAATCCAATTATATCATTTGATATTTATGTTGATGAATTTTCTAGTTCTTCTTTTGAATTTATTCTTTGGGGAAGTTCTAAACCTAATGAAAAATCAGATAATGTAAGTGTAAGAAAAATTGGAAATTCCATTATATCTCTTAATAAATTTTTCAGTTAAAATGTAAATGTTTTGGCTGAATTAGACAGGATTTCACTTTAAGAAGTTAGATTTACAGATAAATTATGGATTCATGGTTAATGTGTTGGAAGAGTAAAAGCAGAATTCATTATAACAAAGGATACTTTTATTAGATAGATGTTAGGAGGATTTCGAACAGAAGAAGGTATTTAAAGATCTTCTTTACTTTATATAAAAAAGGATAAATATTCTGGACCATAGAGACCAAATATCAATTAAATTATATAAATTAATAACGAAATAGATGAATTAGCTGGAAGATTGAATCAAAAAAGTCTTTAACATAGAGAGAGAGTTAAAATTAATAAAGCAATTAATTAAATTATTGAAAAGTTAAGTACATTAATTAAAAACTAAGAATTATATGAAAATCTTGAAGAAATGATTGCTGCTTAATTGGTTTTTGTGGATTTAACAAAAAATTTATTAGAAAGTGCTGATTTGATTGATGAAGATTTGAGAGATCAATATTATGATGTTTTAATTACTTTATTAAATAGAGATGAATTCTTTATTAGTTATTTAGGTTTTGATAAAGATCTAAAAGAAGCATATCTATTAAGAAATGATCAAAATTATGTATCTAAAAATAAAAAGCTTATATAATAGTTAAATTAGAAAATTAGAATAGGATTACATTATTAGAATTTCTTACATTAGACATTTGAGAAAGTTGTATAGAAATTAAATTAATAAGGATAGAATGACAAAGAAGAATTATTTGTAAATACATTTTTAGTTATTGCTTTTTTTAGAATACCATAATTCTAAAATTTAGTTATTGACATATTAAAAGAAGATTAACGTTTACTAAATGAGGAATTTGAAAAAGATTTTGGAATAAATTGCATTGATAATACATTCTCTGCTGAATGGGATAAGAATTTTTATGATTATTTACAAAGTGATCCTAGACATTAAGAACATAAAAAATAATTATAAGGCATACTTAATACTATTGATTGGAAAAATATAATACTTACAAGTAGAGTATTTTTGAAATGGTTTTAATTAATGTTGAATCATTATAAGAAAGCAAAACATCCATATGATATGAGTTTAACATGGTCAGGTTTTCCTGGTTATTTAATTTTAATAAAATATTTATTATTAGAAATTAAATATTCAAATGAATATCCATATCCAGAAACTATTAAACATGCTTCATTATGTATTTTAGAAAATGAAAATATGCTTAATTATTTAGTAATTGTTATATTTCATAAAACTAAACTTTATGATGGAATTGCAGTATTTTATACACTTGATATGATTAATGATTGGTTTCACATAATTAAAAAATAAAATAAGAAGATTCCAACAGATTTTAATTATTAATTTCTTATGAAAGGATTATTCATGATTTTTGATGGTTAACATGCTTCATCAATTAGTAAAGCACTCTAATTGATATTTAATATATTTCCATAAATGCCAATAGAAATCTAAAAAGAAATTAGTGATCATATATTTGATAATTGTTTTTTCAAATTTTTTATGTTTTGGAGTAAATTAGTTAGATTTGTTTTTCAACACTTTTTAATATATAGAATATAACATAGACTTAGAAATTATAGATAGGAAAGTATAAGAGATATATATAAGGAATTTGAATGCATAAAATTATAAAAATAAAAGTATACTGTTGAAGAAAAGGCTAAATTGTTGAATCATCTCATTTACATAAGATATTCATAAATGATTGAATTAGTATTGAAAATTAAAAGAAAGATTGCATAACATAATTTGTAATAGGAAAGCCAATTTTAATTGTAATTAGAAGCAAAATCTTTAAAATTAAAGTTGATGAAGAAGAAATAGTAATAAAAGAAATAATATTTAAAAAGAATGGAATCTCCAAGACATGATTAAATTGATATTTCATTTGAAAAATAATAGAGATCTAATATTAGTTTAACATTTAGTTTAAATGATCCTTTTTATAGTTCTGATATAAGAGAAGATGAAAAATCAATTGATTAATCTCATGAAAATGCTAAAGAAAATAATATGTCAAATTATGATTAAAATGAAATATACTTATTTGATAGAAGTATTAGTTCAATAATAAATTTAAATGATTTATTAGCTGATATTGATTAAGATAAGAAAATTAATGAAAAAAGAAAATCAAGACATTCTAATAGAAATAATTCAGTAGAATTAAATTCAGAAAAGAGTTAAAAGAGTAGAAGAGATGATAATGAAAATCCAAAAAAATTAAAAATTTATCATCGTATAAGTAAATAAGAAAATATTAAAAAATCATTTACAAAAGAACTTTTATCATATTTGTTTCCAGCCATACAAGAATGGCAAGAATCATAAGCAAATTATAAAAGATGGTTTTTAAAGAGTTAAGCATTAATAAAAAAATAATTTAAATAAGATTAATAGGAATAATAATTGATGGATATAGACCCACCTGAAATAAACTTATATGTACCTAAAGATGAAACAGAAAATGAAAATGTCTATACAGATCATTGACTAAATTAATTATGTTAAATCTAATTTTTGATATTAAATATTTCAATTAATAAAACACTAAATATATCATGAATATTAATATTCATCTTTTCATATATATTCATAATAAATTTTATAACCTTATATTTTTATAGAATTGCATAAACAAATGTATATGAAGATTATATTTATAAATATAATCAATTTTTCTTTAATAACAAACTTTATATCATCCCCTTTTCTTACATATACTTATAGATTAATTATTTTAAAACACTTTTATCTACAATAGTAAATAATAATAATTCATTCCTTTTATCAAATGCTTAAGTGGCCATCAAAGTTTAAAATTTTGATGATTTTACTTTAATTTTTAAAACTCTCCATTTTCTTATATATAAATTCTTAATTTCTTTATAATAGTTATTTACAATTACACTTTATACCTTACTAACAATTTTATAAATGAAAATACATATCTAGATATGGTGATTTTGCTATTTCTTCTTCAATATGATAGTTAATTATAGTCTTTTACATTTATACTTTAATCTATTTTACTTCTAAAGTTAAGAAATAATCATGATAAATTACTTTCCTAATCTTCTTTTTTTATTTCCATATAAATTTAATTCCAATATTTATTCCATAACATGATTATTCTATTGACATATGCTTAAACCTTCTTTCTGTATATTCTATATACTTCTATGATCTTCCTCATTCTTCTTTTAAATTAATAAGTTTTTTAAAATATCTCACCAATTTATCCATAACTCATCATAAAAGTATGTATCATTCTTTTTGCTTTCTTTTTAGCCCCATTTTATTTAACCTTAGATAACATTCTTAATATCAAAAGTCCTTGAAACAATGTTCTTTGAAATATATCTTTTCCAGATTTTTATAACATTCTTTATAAAACTTATCTAACTCTATATTGCCTTCTTTTCTTTATGGATTATTTAAATTAAAAAATTATATTATCCTAAAGATAATAAGATCTTTATTTACATAATATCTCTTTTTAATAATGGATACCATATGTATGAAATATAGATTCTGTAACCATAATTTTTATTGGAATTTTATAAAGTTATCAATATTATTTCTATAAAAAATAATTTCTTTTAAAATCTTTTTCTTTTCTTAAAACTCAAATCTTTCTTTTAATGTTTCCTTTTTTTCCTCAAATATTTATCTTTTTTTATGTAAAGTCTCTGATATTTTTCTAGCAGATTAAACTCTTCTTAAATTTTATTAAAGTTTAATTTTTTCAGGTTAATATTATTCTATATTCTTATTAAGTGATATCATATCTTTAGATGGTTTTCTTGTAAAGAAAAATTAAGAAGATCTTGTGAATTGATAACCTGTAGAAGGTCTTAATTTGGATTCAGTTTCCATTTTTTATTATTATTATGGTTTAATACCAAATGAAGCCTTTGCATATATTGTAGTAGCTTATTAAGAAAATATTGCCAAATATAAACAACGTTATGAGAAATGTACTTATTCACCCTATTCTGTATATCTAAGAATTTGTTTTCTCTCAAAAGATTCTTCATTATTAAATCTGTTTGGAGTTATGGTATGACTTGAAATGTAAAATTTCATTTTGGCTTAATCCGTGAATTAAAAATCTACTATTTATCAAGATTTGTACAAATCACAAGAGGCTTTTTGTGACCAAATAATGGTACTTCAATATAATGGAATTGACAAAGATCTAGTTAAATGACATTAGTTAAACGCACATCTAAAATGGCTCTTTCTTTATGAATATATTGAATATCAGTTTATTTACGCTATGTGTTCATTAATGTAGGTGTAGACAAAGCTAGATTATCACAAAATATTTGTTTAATTTTGCGTTCTTCAAGTTTTTGTATCATTTAGAAATTTTCATCATACTTCTCATAATTTTAATTCATTAATATTAATAAATAATAATAATTAAATTAAATAAGTATAGTCGTTTCATTTATTAATTTGTATTTATTTTTTCATTAATTATTGTGCTTATAATTGATCTATTAATTATTTATTGAATTCTGAAGACTTTGTAAATAGATTCAGTTTTAGTTTTCTTAAATACTTTATATTATATTAAGAATAATTAATATTATTATTTACAATAAGTAATTATAATCTTATTAAATTGATCATAAGTTTTTGATATATATTAATAATCTGCCATTTCATCATATTTCAAATTTCTTGAATATTTAATATAATGATAAAATTGTTTTGGGATTCTAGTTTCACATAAAGGAACCAATTCTCTATACCTAAATGTGTTTTGATTGATCAATATCTTGAATACTTTGTAATCCTTATGAGGGATATAAGTATCATTTATCATATACTTTTTAACAAGTCCATACATATATACTATATTCTTATGAGCTATATTTAATAAGAAATCATCAGGTTTGATATATCCATAAAGAAAATGTTTTGGTGTTAAGTATTCTCTAGACATTCAAGCATTTAGAATGCTATTAAAGATAGAATAAATGTTTATCATCTGCAAATATATCTTTAAGCCTCTTTATAAATAATTCTATGATAAGAAAGTTAAAATTATCTTATCAAAAATAACTATAATATTTTGGTATATCTATTATTGCTTGATTTTTAAAAAACCAGTAGAATTTAGACTCAAAAATTAACTAAGTATATTTTGTTTCTGAACATTTAATCTTAATTTGCATCATCATATCCATCAAAAGCATCTGAATATATTTAATCAAATGCTCCTGTTCCTAGACTTTTAATGTATTTGAATTTTCTGCTGAATAGAGCTATAATGAGGTTTAAGTATTCATAGGTATTTTTGGTTTTACTTATTATTCAGTTTTTGATCCTATATAATTTTATTATTTGTATTGAACTTACTATCATTTATTATTAAATTAAAATCAATTAGAATATTCTTTAACTTTATGTTTTCTTATATACTAAAAAATATAAATATATAAGCCAAATTAAAGTATCTCAGATTGATAAAAGAATCGATTGATAATAACTGTAATCAATTAACAAAAACAATAGTTTCAATTAGAATTTCCTATTGGATGCTATTAAAATCTTTATAAAGGAAATGTTAATCCATGAATAACATATATTTATTAATTGTAGAAATGCTAATCATTGTATAATAAGTACAAGATATAAAATGAAAAGATTATCCACTATAATTTAAACTAATTATTTAAAAAATTAAAAAATTACTGTTTCAAGTTATGTTTAATCTTTTTTTATCATAATAATAAATACAGTCAATTACATCATTACATTTGAGTATAATTTTAATATGCATATATTTTGGATATTGTGTATTATGAATATTTAGAATAATAATATATTCATATAAGAAAATATTGATAGACTATGTATGCATAATTTCCATTATAACACATTATTTTAATGGGATTGGAACACACAAAGCACTGCAATGATGAAAGTTGTAATAAAAATTAAAAGTGGATATAAAAATTGAAAAATCTCATGATAATTTATTTTGTAATTAAGACTCAAATATGATAGGAATATTATGATAATTAATTTAATTTTTAGCAACTCTATATATATATATATGAACAGGGAATAAAGAGTTAAGTTGAATATGAGTAAGATTGTTAGATTTTGATATTTATTTATTAATTTAATATTGTATTTGATTAGATGCATTCTTTCTTTAAGAAATTTAATAAATAATAATTAAATTGTATATATATAGATTTTAATTTGCTGGAGATAATAATAAAAAAATATTATTAATAAAAATGAGATTTTTATATTGCGATTCAAATGTAACTCCTGAGATGAAAGAAAAAATAAAAAAATTATTATTTGAGAACTCAGATAAATTAAATCACTAAAATCCAGCACTCTTTTTATAACAACTACTTAATAAAAATTTTGAAAAACTATGGTAAAATGATTATTTAGTATTTACATTAGGTTTGTTTATCTGGTTTATAGTCCTGTGGAATTAGAATATTAAGTTAGATCAAACACTTCAATATGTAATTAATAATTTGATATTTGTAGTAATTGATATAGAAATTGAAACAACTAGATATATTTTGGCATAATTTGAAGAAGTCAGCATAGGAACATTCTCTAAGGATAAGTTCAATAAAACATGTCAACAAATTGAAAAGTATATTCAATAGTAATCGCATGACTTGAATTCTGTTCTACATGAATCATTAAAATCTTTGGAATATCATTTTGGACCAAGTTGTCATATGATATTAGTTAAATGTAATGAATAGGAAACATAACTATAATTTAATGGTCCTAATTAGAATCAATATATATTTAAAATACAAATAAGTGCTTTAGAATCAATTCAAGGAGGCATATTTTATATTCCTTTAGGTGCAGAAGAAGATGATGGAATGTAAGAATTTCATCATAGAAATATATCAGGAGAAGAGGAACTCGATAATAATGAAATAAAAGATGAAAATTACATATAAGATGAATATGAAGAACCAATGGATTTATAATTTTAAGTAATGTTTGATGCCAAAGAATTTAAATAATCAACTGATTAAGAAAAAGTTAGTTTTGATGAACTTGAAATCTAACCATTGAAAGTGCATTCATTTTCTATACTATTTTAAATTGTGATTTCACCATTTCCTAAAGAAATAAGTATAAATATTCATAATATATTAGAGGATGATTTAAATGTATTATCTACTGGAAGTTCTTTGATGTCTAAAAATATGACCTTTGGTATTAATAGAGATTAACTATTCTTTTTCAATTTTTAACTCATGACAGGGAAAATGGAAACTCTTTATTCTCAAATGAAAATTAAAAGAAATATATTATATTAAATATCTTTAGTATATACTGAAACAGAAACATACAAGTAAAATTACTTATTTTATTAATCTATTTAGAGAAGTATCTATGTATATCAATGGAGCAATTGAAAATCAAATTAATTTATCATAATAATTAGAACCACCAAGAGGATTTTTTTGGATAGGATCTGAATAAGCCCTTAAATTATTTAAAGGAACACTAAAGGATATTGTATTTGTATCATAAGCTTTACATTAAAAACATGTTAAATCAATTTATGCTGAACTTTAAAGTGCATTAGCTCATAATTTTGACAGAAAAACAATGGATATTGTTGATGAAATATTATAATAATTTAAAGAAGAAATTCCTATTGATTAAGATGAATCTAAATATACATAAACTTAAAGTTTATTAAAATAATAATCTAAAACTCTAACTAAAACAAGTAATAAAAAATTATAAATACCTCCACATCTATAAAGAAGTTATCATGTATTTGAAGAAATTGATAAAAAGAAAGTTTAATAGTTGGAATAACCACATTAAAAAACTATTTAAGATTTTGCAGGTATATTTTTAATATTAATTTTTAAGATAGATTAAAATAACTTTTTGAATAAAATGAAATATTATAGCATAAATGTCATGAATTGAGTTTGAACTTCTATTGGGTGTTTACTACTGTATAATAATTAGCACCACCATTAGAAGAAAATGCAAGTCCCAAACTTTAATTTGAATATATTCATTAAGAATTATTTAGAGAAAGGTAATTAATATTAAATATGAATTATATTAGATTTGAAACCTATCCATATTATGCTATTGAATTTGATAGGTTTTGTAAAGTTGTATAACATATTGGAATTTAATTATCACGTGATGATATTTTTTAATTAGCTGAAATAACTGATTCTCTAAGGGAAAATAAAAAGTTTGGTTATTATTTAATTTATGATCGTTTACTATTATCTATTAGATAGGCTGCTTTAACTTAAGAGGAAATTGAAGAAGTAAAGAGTTAATATAATACTGATGAAAAAGAAGCAGATTAAGATTTAGTTATTTATGCAGATGGAATATAAAAATTTAAACAACAACGATATGAGCCTAATGTTAGTTTCTTTGATTAACTTATAAAATTAGTAGGATCTGAGAATGAAGCCTTCAAATATAATATTAAATATCTCTTAGCATATTTTGTAAATAATGATGAATTTGTTTAAAAATTAACAGCAGTCTATATTCATAAAGAAACAGAATAAGAAGTAGAAATTGAAGGAATTGAACTATTTTCTTATGATCAAGATAAGATATTTCAATAAAAACTAAATATATCTGAGGAAACATAACCTAAGTATTTCAGAGTTCATTATAATGGTGAAAATATGGCTATGATATCATTTAAAACACATGAAACTGAAGAAACATTTAAAATTGATAAAACATTTTCATATAAAGAAGGATAAGATGCAACAGGTTAATTACAGACCTATGCTTTTGAATAATTAAGATTGGCAGGATTTAGATTTTAAATAGTATAGAAAGATGAATATTCACAAATAATAAGGTTAGAAGCAGAATATTTAAAAAAAGATCCAAAAGTAGAAGAACAAAAAAAAAATTAACCAGAAACATTACCAGTATTACCAGAAAATTGGAATTAAGGGAAATTCTAACTTATCATAAATAGATGTTCTGATTGTGAAAAACATAAAACAACTACATGGCATAATGAAGCTGATTTTGCCCTTAAATTTAATGAAATTGGATAAATATTAAAAGAGTTATTCCCAAATATAGAGGTAATAGGAAATTGGGATAAAACATAATAATTAGAGCATTTTGATGTTTATATTAGAGGAGTAGGTTAATTAGGTTAAATGGATAAAGAAGGTAGAGTATTTTTGTTTAGAAAAAATGAAAAATTGACAAAATTTTTGGATTGCTTCTTAAAGAGAATGTTAAAAGTTTATGATGATATAGTATTAATTGCTTAAGCCTATGGAGACACAAATCATATGGCAAGTAGATAAGAATAATTCTTAAAAACTAACAATTATTCTTAAAGATCTAAGATATCTCATGATCATCCATGCAATGTACCTGATAAATAAGAGAAATCAGAAAAAGGAGAAGCTTAATTAGCTGGTACAGATTTCATTTGTAAAAATTGGGGTTGTGGATAACCATATAAATATGATTCTACTCCTAATGGAATTAAAACATGTAAACATCATCCTGGAAGATATGAATTTGGATCTAAACATGGATTATGGCCAGAATGTTGGACATGTTGTGGTAGAAAATGGGAAGCTGAAGGCTGTAGATTAGAATATCACAAAGGTGTTCCTGAAAAAGATTATTATAATATTTGTATTAATGTAGGTCCTAAAGATCCAAGAACTGGTTTTCCTGAAGGTACTTGTGGAATGAGATTTTAAGATGGTGATTCTTCAGAATGTAAATATAATTCAGGAATTCATCAATCTGCTAAATGGCCTGATCCAGCTGCTAAAGTTTATTTTGTTTAAAAAATACATATTGTATTTATTATATTTATATATTAGAATCCTGCTTAAAAAGAAAAGGATGCATAACCAAATAAAAATATTTAAGTTAGACCAGATGTATATAGACCTACTAAACCTTATAATGAATTTATTAATAAGGATAGATAGAAATTAATGAAATTAATTGAAACAGAGAAAGAATTAAGATCATGTACAAATTGGTCATGTGGAAAACAATATAGAGAAATTGAAAATAGAAAAAAGAATACATGTAGATCTCATCCAGGTGTATTTGATTTTGGACATACTGCTACTAAAATATAAGAAGCAATTGAAGAATATAAATAAGAAAAAGGATCAAAGATATTATGGAAACCTCAGTAAATAAGATTTTGATTTAAAATAGTTGGACTTGTTGTCGTAAATCTTGGAATGAACCTGGATGCTTATTAACAAAACACTCAGGACCTTTAGTTACTGAATATAAACCTAATAAATATTAATGGCCAGATCCAAAAGCATAAATATATTTTAAAAAGAAGGTATCAGAAAATTGGACAAAAATGCTTGAATAAAGTCATAGTTTGACACCTGAAACAGCAAGTTTGAAATATGATCTTTTATGTAAGACTTTAGGATCTGGAGGAGTAAATATAATTAATATACTTTTAGTAAATTTCTGTTTATAAATTACCTGAATTATGTGATAAATTTGAACTTAATTTATGGGTATGTAGTGAAGATTTAGCATTTTAATTTAAATTTACAGATATTATGGAAGGTAGGGCTTAAGAATATTTGGCTGATACAAGTGGAAATATTGATAAACATAAATTTTTAGATTGGTGGTTTGCAGATGTCAATAGAATGTTAGAAATTTCATCAAAATGATATATTACACATATAAAATAAGAAATATTATATTAGATTCTTTCATTTTTATAAGAAAAATATTTCAATCTTTTCTATTACAAATTTAACTATTAAATTTAATTTTGATAAATATGAGTTCTAAACTTTAATGTTTAATTATTGGATTTTCCTTTGGAGTTTTATCAACTACATATTATTTAGGAAATTAAAGTAAAGAGAAACTTGTATTAAAAGCAAAAGAATTAAAACAAAAGGGTATAGAATAAGTAATTATATAATATAATTAGATTCATGATATTAAAAGTGATTTGAATGATATTAATGCAAAAGAATTTTTGATTGAAAAGAAAGAATAGATTTTAGAAAAAAGTAAAGACAGGTATATTAATTCTATTAATAGTATAGTTAAGAGTTTGCATAAAAAAAATGGAAAGATATTGAAGAAAAGGCTAAAAAAACAAAATAAAAAATGGGAAAGGAATTTGAAAAAATAAAAGAGAAATTTAAATAAGATTGATAGTATTATTATATTATTTATGTATTATAATTTAATTGATACACAATATAAACACTTTATGGTATTATAATCAAAGTATATAAATTTAATAATTATAATCGTTAAAAAATGCATAACGCTGTGATTACTATACCTTAACATGGAAATGGCAGACTATATAAAACTTCAATTTGCAGACACTTTGAATTAGGTAACTGTTCAATTGGAGATAAATGTCAATTTGCACATGGTTAAAAAGAATTGAGAAATCCTAATGGTATTATCTAAAAATTATACTCTAGATCCAATATTAGGTAAAATACCAACAATTGATTCAAATATAGTTATCACAAATTATAAGAGTATTAATCATATTATTATATTACAGCTGTTTTATGCAAATATGATTAATAAGGATTTTGTAAGAATGGAGTAAATTGTCCATATGCTCATGGAACTAATGAAAAGAAATAAGCAAGATTAGCTCCTGTATAATTGAAACAATTATAAGAAAATAAAGAAAATGGTGATGATGAAAATGTTGTTAAATTTCTTAATTAATTGACTGATAAATTAATGAAAAATGATGCTTTCAAAAATGATAAGGTATATAAAATTACTAATTATGTATAAAGTAAGTCTTAGTTTAACTAAAATAAACTCAAACTATGATTGAAGAAAAGCATCATAGAGATGCAGCTGAATAGTTGTCATTAGTTTTATCTTCTCCATCTAGATCCTCAAAATAATAAAAAGCATACGAAACAGTTTATAAATCTTTAACATTGAATTGAAATTATTAATAAAAATAATTATTTAGAAATGTATTAATATTAACATTGAAATAATCTATATTAGATTAATTTATGTTGAAATAAATATAATAAAAAAAGTCTAATTATTTAAATTAATCTAAAATTACATAATATATATAAATAATATATTAACAACATCTTCAAAGAGATAAAAATTCTTTATTTTAGAGTAACTTCTCTACATCATCCATTTATTTTGCATCACCTTTTATCATTATTAAATTTAATATATCTGCTATTCTTTATTTCTAAGACATAATTTATTCTTGAGCTTCCATCAATTATTATTCACTTAATTCTGCTATATTCTTAATTATAATGAATTTATATTACTTTTTAAATTTCTAATTCCTTTGTTAAACTATCTATTCTTATTTTATCTTTATTTTACTCAAATTCTAAAATAAATAATTAATAATAATACTTAATTAAGTATTTTCTTATTTCAAATTTTCACTTTGATTATCCATATCATCTCCTTTGAAACTAAATCCTTTAAAATTAATTTCCTGTTAATACATAGAATTTTTATTAGATTATTGAAATGATTATTGCTATTCATTTTAAGATTAACTTAAAATTTATTTTAAGTTCTAATTATCAATTTATAATTTTTAAATTTCTTCTTAGAGATTATTAAATTTTTAATTAAATTTTTTTTCTGCTTCTTGCTTCTAATCTAATTCAGATTATATTTCATTTTCTAAAATTGAAATTTATTTTTTCATTTATTTTATACTTTCTTCTTAATCCAAAATTTCTAATTCTTTTTTTTTGATTACTTATTTGTAACCATCAATAATATCTCCTATATTATCTTTATTATTTAAAGCTTATATTCTGATAACATCTTATTTCTTTTCTTCAAGTTAATCCTTTAATTTTGCTATTTCATCTTCTAAAGATTATATCATTTAATTTAAATTTCCAATTTATTTTTTAAAATTTGTATTTTCTTTTTCTATTTATTAATATTAGGTTTTTAATTATTCTAATTCATCTTTTTAATGAACATAATTCATACCTTAATTTTCTAATTAAGTTTTTATTTAATTAATAGATTGAGTATCTGATTTAGAATTTATTTTATTTTAACCATCTAAAGATTATTCAATTTAATTATTTTACTTTATTTCTGTTTTCATTTATAATGCTTCATTTTACAATTTATCTATTTCTTAATTAATCAAAAGTAAATTATTTTTTAGATTATAAATTTCTATTTAATTCTTTTCTTTCTCTTTTTGCAATTAAATTACATTATATTAACTTTATTCTAAATGAGTTTTAAGCATGTTATTATCTCTTTATAAAAACTCAAGTTCCTTTTTGATTATTTCTTAATTAAAATTAGATTAAGTACCCTATTCATTATTACCATTAATCAATTACTATTATTACAAAAATACAATTTATTATTAATACTACTAATTTTATTAAATTACTTATGTATATTCATCTTTCAATGAAGAATAAGTTTATGATAATAGAGAAAATTCTAAACATGAATTTTAATATTTATCCTTCAAATCTAAATATTTTTTCATTAATTCATCATATTTATCAGAATTATTTAATTAATTATTATTTAATAATTCTTCTTATTATTATGTTTTACTTCTTTATGATAATTATTATTATAATTCTTTTGGTTTTGGAGGACTTTTTGGAACATCTAAATTAACAGTATTTTATTTGATTTTTTATTTGGAGATTTAAGGATCATGTAGAGATTTAATTAATTCATCAGAGTTTTAATATTATTGTGTGGGTGGTTAAATTTGACTATTGTACATAAATTAATAATCTTTAGAATCTTTTTATTCTACAAAGGATTGATAATGGAGAGATTTTTATTTGATACCTTTTTCAGATTAACTAATAATTTAATCTTCATTAGAACCATTTTTATAATCATCAAATTAATTCTATTTTAATTTTTAATTTAATTTTGATGAATATTTTTTTTTATCTTCTTCTTTATTTTCATTATTCATTTATTATAATTATTTGTCTACTTTATTTAATTTTTCATTTATCATTCTTAATTCATAATCTTATTATCTTTAAGGATTCAGATTATTTACAGGACTTTAAAATTTCTTATTTACTTTTGTAGGAGTGCCAAATCTTTTAGGAGGTGAAACAACTCTAACTTAAGCATTTGATTTTCTTAAATTATCAGTCCAATTATAATTATAATCATCAACCATTATTATCTTTTATGGATGCTTTGGTTCTTTTAGTTTTCTTTCTTATTGATTTTTTAAGTATTCTTTATGATCTTTCCATTAAGAATACGTTACATGAGTAGTTCTCTTTTCATTTTCTTCTCCAATTCTTTTTGATTAAACCTATCTTTTAGGACTTTATCCTCCATTTCTTTGTGTATTCTAAGGACTATTACCTGAAAGATAAGGATTAAGAATTTTAGGGTTAATTTCTTAAGGTTTTTCTATGAATTACCATTCAAACATAAATGTTAATTGGGCTTCTTCATTCTATTCACTCTAAATAGATAATTTATCTGATAATGATTAGAATTTATTGTCAATATAAAAGTCTAAATCAAAGACAGCTTCTCCAAATTTACTTTAATTTTCAAAAAAGATCAATTTGAGCTTTCATAATAAATTAGATATACTTTTTTTTTGTTTTTTGGATCATAATGTGTTCTTATTTCAGCTTTTTCATAAATGTCTTATTGTTCATAACATTTACATTTAAGTTAACTATTTAACATGACTGCAGTAACAGCTACATTCAATCAAACATATTACAATCATTAAGTTGCATATGACAATACATAATAGGTGAATCTATATAAAAATAAACAGTTTGCACCTCTATATTAATTTATAGCATCTATACTATATTTTATTATTTTATTATAATAATGTATTTCGTTATTTTTAATTTATCATATTAAATATATATATATATTCATATAATAATATATTAACAATTCATTATAGTTATTACTCATATAAGTAATTCTAATTAATGTAGCATTTCTTCACGTATCAAATCGATTTCTTTTTTTTGATAATAATTCCATGTTCTCAAAGAGTAAGGACCAATTCCATACAAATTATCACATTAATAGTTTAAAAGAATCTTTTAAACATTAAAATTAGGAATTATTAATTCATCACAATATTTTAACTTTGAACAGGAATTATTGTAAATTTTAATGATGGAATCATTATAATCTTAATGCAAAAATAGAATCTCTTTAGTTTCATGAGCAATAGTCATATCCAAAGGATTACTCTATAGTTCTTTATCAAAAAGCACTTAATTCTTTGATATATTCCAAAGTAAACATCTATTTGAATTCTACTTTGCATAAATGATATTATTAGAATTTCCAGGAGTAAACATAGCCTTTAAAGCCTACTATTCATTTTCTTAGAAACTGAATTGAGCAATAGTTGGATTTCTCATATCTAAGTGAATAAATCCATTTGTCATTGTCACTACTACATTATAATCATGAACATCAATGTGTTAAATATATTAAGATTTTGAATTTTATATTTATTTGAAACTTGGGAGTTGCTCAATAAAATCATCCTTAATTGAATCTTATTCTTCATCTAATTTAAAACTTGTTAAATTAAATAGATTTGGATCTATAGGATTAAATTAAGGACTTTCAATTATTGTGGATCCAAATTTAGGTAACAAAGGTGATAATATTTAGTTTGCTTGAATACCATTTAATTATTGTTTCTATATTTATAATTAAAAACATTTTCTTTCGTTCATTCTTTCATCAAGTATCAACAATTCCTTAAATTAATAAATAAAAATAACTTACATTATTATATCCTACATATATATTATTTAATTATTATGTTATGAATGTGGGTTATGAATGTTCCTACATATTACAATTATATTAATTGTTTAATCCATAATAATGATAAGCTTGATTTTTAAATAAATTCCAACCCATAATACTACCTTAATCAGTACCAGTAATTAACATATCATTAGATATATTTTTATCACAAATACAAAATGATATAAATTTTTAATTCTTATCAATAATATTACATATTTTCTCACTAGAAAATGTATCATTTATTAATTCTAATCTTGTCAAATGAGTACCATTATTTATTATTATTCCATTTTATTATTTTAAAGAAATGAAATTATTTTACATTTTTCTACTTTAAGCATAAGTTCCATCAAATGCTGAAAAATATTGGATGTTCTACAATAATAATATTCATTTACTTTTCGAATTATCCTTAATTCATCAATCAATCTATTAACTTTTTTATTTATCTTAGGATCTAATTAATTTTCTAATCCTTCTTATGTTGTTGTTGTTAATCCCTAAATCCGAATATGAGATATAGATTTAGATGGTGATTCATCAGAAGATAAAATATTAATAGGCTTCTAATACTTTTATTTTGTCTTCTCTAAAAACTTCTCTAATTTCTAGATTTTCTTTAAACTTTCCTCAGTGTATTTTGATTATATTATCAATGCTTCTGAAAATGAAGCTGGTTCCATATATACAGAATTGTTTTATTTGGTTCCACTTAAGAGTTACTTATTAACTGGTGTTTTAGAAAGCACTTCATCTTTCTCCTAATAATATATTATTTTTTAAATGCTTTACAATTTCTTAATAAGGAACTGCTAAATTCCTGGGTGTGTTAAACATAATATTCTATTCATTATAGATTGAATTTTTGTTGAGTTTTGCTGAAATTGTTTAAGCATGAGTGAAACTTTAAAATTGAAATGAATTTGGCATTGGTGATTCATCACAAGAGAATTCTGAAATAATCGAGGTTGTTGAAGACTTTGGTACATTTTGCTTAAATTTGACAGAATTGTTTTTCATTTTAATTTATCTATGATCAAAAACTTAACCTCAGCCTTTAGTTAAAATTGAACTGAAATAAGGCTTTTTTTCACTAAACAATTAATTAAGTATAATTAAAAATTATTTAATAATAAAAAATTTAAAATATACTAGAAAAAGTTCTCTTCAATCAAAGTCTAATATTAATCAATAAGAATAGATCAATATGAGTAATCATTTAAAGACATTCTTATTAATTGATCATTTTCATATATAGTATTAAATTTAATTATACTTATATATAATAATTAATATTCATACATATACATATTAATAAAATTATTAACAACATTATACATTTGATTTAAAAAATATTCATTCCATTATATTGATTTGTTAAATATAATCAATTTTTTAAATAAATAAATTTTAATATGTTGCTTAGATTTATAACCACAACCCATCAATTAAATTGGGCATCACTCTATTATTTCACAAAACATACTAGACCCAAAGCATAACCTCATAGAGAAAAAACAAGAGCTAAAGCAATAAGTGATGATAAATCTGGAAAAATTGCTAAATCTGATTAAGAACAAGAATAAAAGCAATAACAAGAAAATCTCAAGAAAAAAATAGAATTAGAAAAATTAAGAGCATTATAACCAAAAATGCACACCTGGAGTTCATTTTATGAAACGCATATTCCTTAAACTAAAAAAATACCAAAAACTATTTACCTTTCTCTAAATGAATAAACTGAAGGAAGAAGAAAGCATTATAAAAAGTTTGTTTAACCTCCAGTTGATATTACTGAAGAATGCAATTAAAAATTTGAAATTAAATAGCATACTTATGATGATCCTTTTGCTTAACCAAAAAGAGCGGGTTTAATTGCTGTTAAAGTAGGAATGACAGCTTAATGGGATAAATGGGGTTATAGACATGCATTAACAGTCTTATAATTAGATAATAATTAAGTTGTTTAAATAGTGAAGAATGATACATATACTGGTTTGTAGATTGGAGCAGGAGCTGTCAATATTAAAACTCTAAAAAAACCTTAGATAGGTCATTTCCTTAAAGCAAATGTAATCTAAAATTATAATAGTAGATACCTCCCAAAAAATATATAAAGGAATTCCCTATTACTCCTGAAAATGTACTACCAGTAGGATTTATGTTGACTGCAAGACACTTTACTCCAGGCTAATATATTGATATATAAGGTATTTCAACAGGAAAAGGTAAGAATAAAGTTTATCATTTATTCTGTTAGGATTTGGAGGTACAGTTAAAAGACATAATTTCAAAACACAACCTGCCACTCATGGTAATTCTCTATGTCATAGACAATTGGGAAGTACAGGTTAAAGACAAGATCCAGGAAGAGTCTTTAAGGGAAAGAAAATGCCTGGTCATTTAGGTAATGATAAAGTTACATGTGAAGGGGTCTAAGTAATATTTGATATCATTTTAATAAGATTTATAGAATAGATGCAGTTAGATAATTAATATACATAAAAGGTTCAGTTCCAGGTAAACCTGGTTCAATTGTTTATTTAAGGGATTCTTGGAAGGTATAAAAGAAAAATAAAGATCTACTTAATTTTCCAACTTTGGCTGTTGAGAATGGAAAAGAATACGCAAAGGAAATAGTAATGGAAGCTCCATTGGAAGATCCTGAATTGTAGGAAACTCATGAGAATGATTTTCCTAAAGCTGGAGAGGATGCAGAAGACTGAAATAAATAAAAAGAGTATAATAATATTAAATCAAAAATATAAATAACAATAAAGATTAAAATTTCATTTTTTATTTTTTAATTTTATACAAAGCTTCTTCTTATTTGATTCTATTTATAAAATATTATCAAAATCTCTTTTTAGTTATTTTTATTATATGTGAGAGTTGTCTAAATTAGAATAATTTGAATTTTGATAATTAACAATATCACATTATTTATCTGAATTAGTATTATTTAATTACTTATCTTAAGTTATATTATTCATTTAATAATTTTTTAGATTGATGTAGTCATTTTAATTTTATTATTCATTTATTTATTATTTCATCCTATCAAATGTTTCATCTTTTAACTTTTCAAATTCATATTTATTTTATAATCCAAAAAATTCAAGTTTTCTTTTTTTTACTTCTTATTCTTAAATAGGTTTTTATTCAATCTACTCTTTTTCATTAATTTAATTTTTTCGATTTAAAAAAAAATCCTTAGTTTGCTTTATGATTTCATCATCATTAATCCATGGCTAAATAGCTGGTTATAACCATTTTGATAATCCTTATTTAATGTCTTTTTATTCAAATCTTTTATCACATAGATAAACAATTCTAAAAATTAAAAAAAATATATACCCATAATCATTTATATGTCTAATAACTCTTCCCATAGCCTAATTTGTAGCACGTATAGCTTATTGAATATACCATTCAGAACTTCTTATTCGTTATTAATGTTTGAATTCTGGATCACTGAATAATTTATCCAAATAATTCATTTTTTGTAAAAGATGATTATCTTATTTAGGTGGATATGGAACACCTACTAAGAAAATAGCTCTACATAATTCATCAGAAAAATCTATTCCTTCAGCAACCTTACCTCTATGAACTGCAAACATTATGGCACCTTTTTTAGCTTTTAATTTATATGTATCAAAAACATTTTGCATTTCTGAACTTTATTAAGGTTCCCATAAACATGCTTTAATTTCACTTAATCGAGGTATTAATTTATTGTATGTCCATTTACTTCTAAATTTATTCATAAGACTATAAGATGAAAATATAACTAAAATTCCATTAGGAATAATCTAACATAAACTTAATAAAGTAACACCAAATCTGCAAATTTATTCTTCATTATTTCTTTAATTATATTAAAAATCGAAAATTTTATGTTAAAATACTCTAAGATTTTTATTCAGATCAATTATATGTTCATTACTTAATTAAACATCAAAAGGCAATCTTAATTCAGAAACCCATGAGGGCATAGGTGAAAGTGTACCAGATGTTAACATAATTGAATAAATATTTTTATTAAATAGCCTGGAAAAAGCTAATGAGGGTTCAAGACACCACATATTAATAGATAATTAATTAGATTAATCAAGAATGAAAGATAATTTATATTAATTAAACTCGTTTTATAAAGAATCTAATGATAATTTTTATTTTTCTCTTTCATCTTCAACTATAATAAGATCATATACATTTTTCATAAATTTAACCCAGGATTCAAAATGATAACCTGGAATTTGAGATAATTCTCCCATAACTTCAATCAAAGTAGAGCAATGAATTAAATACTAAGCAAAATTAGTTTTATTAACTCCTTTAGCATAATTATTCTAAGAATTCTCTGACCATAATTAAAAAGTATTATCTTTATCTTAAGTATTCTCAAAAATCATAAATTATATTTGTCTAGCATCTAAAATTAAATATTTATCTTCCTTATCAGTTATTATAAATTCTTGAGTATTTTTAAATGATTCTAAATATTAAGCAAATATTCTAATTGTAATCATAATAGATTTAAATTCATTTAAATCTGATGATACTTTAGCTGAATTTAATTTAGTTTTTAATTGATCATAAAATACTGTAACTGATTCAAGTTCATCAATCCATTTCTCAAGATCTTTTACAGCTTCAACAATATGATTATGAGTAATAAGAAATGAAGACCCATCTTCAGCAGTAGATTACACATTATGTGCTTCATCAAATATCAAAATTGAATTCTCTATTTATACAACATCTAAAAAGTCTTTTTCTAATAAATAATTGTAAGGTAACAAAATAAGATCTGCAAAATCCAATCGTTATCTCTCAAAATAATAAGGACATAATTTATTTTTCTAACCAAATTATTTTGCTTCTTCTAGACTATTTATTAATGTGCTATAACTTTGTGCCATAACAATAAGATGTTCTTTCTTATAAAACTAACATTAATTTGCCTTGACTGATTTTCTGCAACTTTAATTTAAAATAGTCCCTTTTAACATATTAAAATCACCTCTTATACAATATTAATCTCTAGATCCAAGCATAGAAATATTAGGTTTATAGATAGTCTTCTTCAATTCCATAGCTACTTATTTTAATTGAGCATGAGTTCTTGATGAATATATAATTTTAATATTCTTAGGCTAATCAAAATTTAATTAATCTTATCTATTCTTCTTTAACCATGCTAATGAAGCACAAAGTAAAGATAAGGTTTTTCCTGTACCTGTTGGTGATTCCAATCTAATCTATATTAATTGTTATAAAATACAATGCATTCTATTTTTTATTTAATGCTTTTATTACACTTTCCATATAAATTTTTTATACTTCATAAGGTTGATGAGGAAAATATACAGGTGTATTATCAAGCATAAGTGATACTTATTTCTTACAAATATTTGAATCAATTTCAATTTCCTTAATAATGATCCTCTTAGAATATTCAGATTCTTCATCTAACAATTATTGATGTTAAATTTATTTGTTTGCAAAGTATTATTGAATTCCGAATGGAGTTTTCATTTGTTTTGCAATTTTTGATATCAAATTTGGTTCCAAAAATAATTTATTATTGAAATAACAATTAGAAATTTAAATTATGAATTAAACTACCCCAAAATCCTCAGGAATCAATTATGCAAGTAAGTGTTTTATACATTAAGAGTTAAGAAAATAAAAATCAAAGGAAACTACCATTCCAAAATCAATGAGCAATAATCTAAAGTTTGATATTTAATAGAATCATTAATATGGTATTCTCAAACATAGGAGCACATCACAACACAATATACATGAACATGTTTAATCATAATAACAAATACAATTATTTGAATAATATTTCAATCAATCAAAACATTTACTACCATTCATAGAATTTGTTACTAAATAAATATAATATCATACTTAACCGATTCAAGTATTTTTTTCTTTATTAACATAGATAAATGCTAACATTTTCAAAAATGGTTAAAGAAGATGGGATGATGAAAAACGAAGAATTCTAAATGAATTAAATTAATGCAAAGAAGATAATTGTTTATTACAAAGTGAAATTCATGAATTGAAAAGATAAAAGAATACTCTTTCAAAACAATGTGAAAATCTATAAGTAATCATTGTTTAAGAGAGATTGGGCAAATAATAAAAACATCATCATCATTTTTACAAATTTCAAGAATTGACTAAGAATATTCATGTTCCCACATAAGAAACTATCTCATCATTAACTGACGAAAGGGTAACCTTATATTAATATTCGAGTTCGAAAGCAATGAAACATCTTTGGATTCTTCCTTATCAAATGATGATCATCATCATCCTAATTAACTGTTTGAATTATTGAAGACTGGAAAACACAGATACTAGTTTTCTAAGAAACTTAATTGATTATTAATATACATAATCTATATTAAATGTCTAATTTGAAATTATTTTAGCTTACTGCCTATCAGAATGCCATCATAGTATCAAATATACCTATTATTAGATTAAATCAGATTTACCCTATTTAACCACCTAGCTAAAATTTCACAGAGTTTCATCGATTATAGAAGAATCTCCTAAACATTAAGAGTAAGAAGGTAAAATCAAAGGAGATAAAAGATGCTCATATATTTTGGGAGTCTTTAAGACATATAATAAGTCATTCATAGTACTTGTTGAAGAATGTACAAAAGTAGCTACAATCCAGGAATAAATTATTTATCACATTGATTAAGTATCATATGTTGCTATTGAAGTAAAAAACACATTTAATTAGAGGACAATAATCCTAATAACAATAAAGATATTTTAGAAAGCTTAAGCAATTAAAAGAAATTATTGTAATAAGGATTCTATTTCTCACTCTTTGGTGATATAACCCTTGCTAGACATTTTTAAAAGTATGAAAATAGTTTTGTTTGGAATAATAAGCTACTTAGCTCTTTTAGAGAAAATAAAATCTCCTCTAGTTGGCAATTACCTATGATATAAGGATATGTTGAATAAATTGATTCATATATTGATAAAAAACCAATTACCGTGGTCTTAATTTCCAGAAGAAGTAGATTTATGGGAGGTACTCGCTACTATTCAAGAGGAGTCAATGATGATGGACATGTAGCTAATTTTGTTGAAACAGAATAATTACTTATTTAAGGTTAAATCTTAATAAGTTTTGTTGTTATAAGAGGGTCAGTGCCATTATTTTGGAATTAAGATAGTGTGTCTAATATAAAATTAACTAGATCAAAAGAATTAACATAAGCTGCATTTGTTAAACATTTTAATCTGTTAAGAAGATATGGTAAGATATTTTGCATAAATTTAATGTAAAATAGTAGATAAATAGAGTAATTATTAACAGATAATTTTTATTATCAATTTTAGATGGCTTAATTAGATCATGTTAATTATTAATAACTTGATTTTCATTCATTAGTAAAAAATGGTAAATCTACTGGTGTCAATTCCTATATTTATTAATATGAATAAACTTTGGATAAATATTAATGTTATATTGAAAAAGATAAATAAATGATAACAAAATAAAATGGAGTTTTTAGAATAAATTGTTTGGATTGTTTAGATAGAACTAATTTATTTATGAGTAAACTCTGTCTTTATAGTTTGGATAGATCTTTAAAAATATTAAATCTTTAATTATCAAGTAATCCAGATATTCTTAATTATTTTGATGAAAATAATAAAAAATTATTACATGATCTAATTATTAAATATAAGATTATGTGGGCTAATAATGGAGATATGTTGAGTTTCATATACTCAGGATCAGGTAGTACTGTATCAGAGATGGCAAGAGAAGGAAAGAGAGGATTTATGGGAATGCTTAAAGATGGATATAATAATATTGAGAGATTTTATAATCGTTAATTTGAGGATGATACAAAATAAAATACTATTAATTAATTACTATATGGTTTAACATCCTAAACTCATTTTGATACTTGGATTACATAACAAGAAAAGCACTTTTGTACATAAAGTGAGATTTCTATATTTTTAACAACATGGAATGTTGGTGGCAATAATCCTGTTACAACAAACTTTTCTTAAAATATATTAAATTTTTAAGAACAATCTAATCCTGATATTATTATATTTGGTTTATAAGAGATTGTTGATTTGAATCCATAAAATATAGTCATTATGAGCAATGAAAAAACACTTTAGTTATGGGATTAATTATTTCAATCTAATTTATCTAAAATTGAACCATATACAAAAATTGGAGAATCTGATTTGGTTGGTTTATATATGGCTATATATGTGAAAACATCCTAAATCTCTAGAATAACATAAATTGATACAGATGTGGTTAAAACAGGTTTAGGTGGGACCTTGGGGAATAAGGGAGGTGTTTCAGTGAAATTTAAATTTGATGATTCTCAAGTAAAATATTATCTATATCATTAATTTAGTTAGGATTTACTTGTTGTCATCTTACTTCTGGTAATAAATAATGCCAATAAAGATTATAAGATATTGATGAGATTCATCAAAGAGCATTTTAAAATTCTAAATCTAAAATAAGTTTAAGCAATCTCGATTATTCATTTTTTTTTGGTGACATGAATTTTAGAATAGATTTGCCATATTAAGAAGTTATTGAATAAATTAAGCATTATTAATAGTTAATTGCATAAGATTAGAATTGTCCAAATGCTAAAGCTAAGTTAGCATATTTACTCAATTAAGATTAACTTGGAAAGAATAAAAATAGAAATTAATATCTACAAAACTATTAAGAGGGTAGCATATTCTTTTTGCCAACATATAAATATGATAAAAATTGTCAAATTTATGATACTTCTAAAAAACAAAGAACTCCATCTTGGTGTGATCGTATTTTAGTTAGTTGTAAGGAGGAATTAATTTGTTAATAACGTTTTTATAAAAGAAGTGAATGCTTAGATAGTGATCATAGGCCTGTCTCTAGTTATTATGTTATAGAAATCAAAAAAATTGATAAAGAAAAACTTGATTTAGTAAAAGCATAATATTGTTTGTCAAAAATGTAGAATTTTAAAAATCATTAACCTCATTAGGATGTTCCAAAATAACATTCTGCTATTGTATAATTCTAAAGATAGCAATAACCTTAATAAACAGATGATTATTAGGACTTCTTTAAGGATACTTAAAACTTTTAATACTAAGGTTAAAATTAAAAAGCATAATCGAATTTAATTAATCCTTCATAATAATAATAAATGTAATAATAATAATAATAACAATAGTAATAATAATAACAATAGTAATAGTAATAATAATAATAATAATAATAATAATAATAATAATAATAATAATAATAATAATAATAATAATAATAAAGATTGCCTGTTTAATATATGTAATAAAATATATAATAAATTTAATAACCCTTAACTTCACCTTTAGATTTAATAAATATGGATGATAAATAATAATAGTATTATTAATAACCTCAAGTGTTACAATAATATGCTATGTAATAGATGTAATAGCAATAAAGACTAGATCATTCTACATAATAACAATAAAAAGCAAATTAATATCCACAACAACCTGATTTATTATGAAAAAATATATTAGTATGAACATGTAAATTATATCAATCTTCGTAATTTGGTATTTGAATAGGCGATTAAGATTAAATTTATTCGATATTTATCTTTTCAATTTCTTTAAGAATTTCATCTACGTTTTTGACTTTATTATTTTTTGGATAAGTTTATGAATTATAAAAATCAATAATTTACTTTTTCTTTTCTAGTTTCAGTTAATTCAAATCTAACATTAATTTACTAAATAACGAAGTTAAATGAGATATTAAACCATTTCCTTTAATATTTGACAAAGATTTTTCATCAAAAGCTTATGATTTTTTTAAGGACATTTAAGCTAATTATGTAATTTCTTCTAATGGCTTAATTTCTCGAACCAAAAAGAAAACCACTAAAATGATATAAATAAGTGGGGCTGCAATACAAGCTGCTAAATATCTTTCATTAAATTCCTTATCATATGTATAAAATTCTTCCTCTTAGTCTTACAATTATTTTTCTAATAATGTATATGGATATACACTAATATGATAATAAAGTTTACATAATAATAATAAAGTTTAATCTAATAATGGATATAGAATGGATAGTATTATTTATGATTCCTTTATAGATTTTATATGGATTTTAGGAATTTCCATCTTATTCTAAATTGAAATCATGAACTTTAAACTAGCCAAAATTGTCAATTAATTATTTTATGATGTTTATTGTAAAATTAGATGTCTCTACACTTTAATAAACAATGCTTCCATCATTGTTTGATATAATTATTGTATAATTTAGCAAATCACTTGTAGCAAATAACATAAATAAATCCTTAAAGTTTTATGGTAATCTTTCAATAAATACATTCCCAATAGTTTCATTAATAGAATTCTTTATTGGATATATGGATCTTTGGACATAGTTTTATAAAACATCATCAAAAACAAATTCTGAAGTTTCTTTATGTAAAAGATCAATATTTTTCCTATAATTTCTAAATTATTGAATATCTGTGACATTAATTCCAGGATATTGTACCATCAAACCATTTTAAAAAATCCAGAAAAATGAACAAGTTAACGTTACATAATTATATTTCATTAAGTAATTAGTACTTAGATAATATTAAAGATCATTGATAGGTAAAATTGTTTAATTCAAAAACATATAAGTTGAATAGCTCTAAGTTGCATAATCAATAATTGAAGCATATTGATAAAATTTAGCATATTCATCCAAATTTTACTCCATAGAAATTAGTTGATCTTCATCCCATTAAATTACTCTTTATTAAAAAACTTCATTCATGACTTAAGCAAATTAAATTTCATTCATTAATGTAACTTAACATAATGTAATGAATTATTCAGAAACTTATTGAATTTGTTCTTATTACAATTTAGCAAAATTATTCTTGGACCAATCTTAAATAATATTTTTAAATATATCTTATCCAAGAAATCTAATACCAAAAAATACTCCAAGTGAGACTGTTGCTATAATTAATTATGTAATAATGACTTGCATTTTAAAAGTCCATTTACTTGAGATTGGAATAAAAAACACATAACCTATTTTTTAGCTGGTTAAAAAATTTCCAAAACCAATATATCCCTTAAGTTTCTCTAAGCATGTTTCTTTGATTTCTTTCTTCTTATGTTCATCTTTTAATAAAGGCTGCTGTTCTTAAAATGAAGGATTCTCAGGTTCAATTTTATCATTTTCATTCTCCTCATCCAATTAATTCTCAGATTCATTCGCTTCAGAAGAGGAATCGCTTTGGAATAATTCTTATTCATTTCTTTCTGATAACATAGCTTCATCTTAATTATTTGAAGATAACATTTAATTAAATATATTCACATTAATTTGATAAATTATTATGTTATTCAATAATTCATTTATTCTTAATCATTAATATTTATTTTATTTAAGTTTTTATTCCTTACTAAATTTATAGTCATTTGGATTTTTAGTATCCAAATGAATTAAAAAATCTATTGCTTATCTAATGTTATTTGAATAATCTTAAAAAAATAAAACAATTATAGAGTGAGAACATATTTATAATTCACATAATCTTCAATAATTTTTATATAATCATGCATAAGACATCATAATTTGTTTTATAGTTATAAAATTGTTGATGATTATTATAAAATATTATTTTTGATTTCTATTTAAATTTATGAATACCCTCTTAGTTTTTATAAAGAATATATATTACAATATTTTAAAAAATCTTTATCATTCAACAATTAAACTAGATTTTATTATATTTATAATTTAATAGGTGATCAATATGATTATTTATTTTATTCTTCAATAAAATCCTTTTTTCAATTTGTTAATGGATTATTAAAGATAAATTCAGTATTTGGAATTGTTTATGATGATATTTATAATCTATTTCTTAGTAATTAATTTAATATATTTAACAATATAAAATCTGGATGACTTAGGTTACCTAAGACCCACGTTAATAATATTTGGGTATCACTACAATTGATTATTTTAAGACAAAGCTTAAGATATAAGTTAAGAGCAAATCTAATAATAGAGACAACTAATTACAATTATAAGTGTTAATGATAAAGATGCCAGAGATATAATTTACTACTTATAGGATCGATAGAGTATTGATTTATCAAAAGTTTCTAATTGGAAAAAATTCAAAAACTTTTTATGGGGTTTACCTAAAGTCTCTAACCCGAATTCATCTTTTCGAATATTTTGGGAATTGATAAGTATGATATTCATATTCATACAAATGATTCAAATACCTTTAGTTTTAACATATTCAGTAGAACTAAGTGAAGGATTTTTAGCTTTTAATTAATTTATGGATGTATTCTTTTATATTGATATGATATTGAATTTTAAATTAGCATATTATCATAGGTATCTTAATTTTGATTCTATAACTATGTTAGAGGGGAAATCATTTTTGATAGAAAACTAATTGCAATCAATTATTTGAAATTATGGTTTTGGTTAGATTTCTTAGCCGTCCTGCCTTACGATTAAATGTTTAGTGTAGAAGATTCTCAAACTTAATTATTTAAAATAGTAAGATTGTTCAAATTTATTAAAATAATAAGACTATTAAGAGTTTTAAAAATCAGTAAAATATTGTAAAAACTAGAAGGTAATTTTTATAATAATTATTATTTTAGAATCATTTACATTAGCATAAACCTTTTAAGCAATGATTTAATTTTTAAAGATTGCATGTATGATTTTGCGCATAGCCCATTGGATAGCTTGTATTTGGAATATCATAGAATACACTGATGAGTAAGTTAGTATTACATGGATGTAAAAATATGGAATAGCAGATGCAGATTGGGGAATCAAATATATTTCAGCATTCTATTTTAGTGTAACAACAATGATTACAGTTGGATATGGAGATATCAATGCAAATACTCAAACAGAAATGATATTTGCAGTATTTGCAATGGTTTTGGCTTCAGCTATATTTGGTTACAGTATGTCCAGTTTCATGTAAATTATCGAAGGAGAAGATGAGAAGATCTAAGAATAAAGAATTTAGAATTCTAAGATTGTGAGGTTTCATTTTATATAATCCAAATAGATATATCAGATAAAAAAGTATACCGAAAGAATTGTAGAGTAGAGTGAAAAACTATTTGGAATGGTTAGCTGGTTCTGCATAAATTGCAAGAAATTATGAGTAATATGTATTAAAGAGTTTATCTGCAAATCTTAAAACTGAAATTGTTTGTTTATTGAATGGAAGAATATTGCATAAAGTTTAATTATTTAGTAAAGAATTTACTCCATAATTAATTAATAAACTTGTTTATGTTTTAAATGAATAAATCTTGGGACCAGAAGAATATGTTTTTAAAGAGAATTCTTTGGATAATGATAAAGTTTATTTTATTCAAAATGGATAAATTAATATTTGTCTAACATAAAGGGAAACCCTAGTGAAAACATTATAAAAAGGAGAATATTTTGGTGAGATTGGTTTCTTTGGTAGAAAACCAAGAAATGCTTCTGCAAAAACTGTAGATTTTGTAAATGTTATGAGTTTAAAAAGATCAGATTTATGGGAAGCTGCTAAACCTCTTGAAAGTGATTTGTTAAAATTATACTTTATGAAAGATTGTTTAGAAGTTGAGAATAATTTTAAACCTTTAAAACTGAGATGTTACATATGTGATAGACCTCATCATATTGCAAGAAATTGCACTGTATTTCATTATAGAGCTAGTAGAAAAAACATAATATTTGAATATTTCAGCCATTAAAATAGCAGAATGAGATTATTTTAAAGAAGGTCTAAACGCTAAAAAATAAACATTAATCTTATTTAAGAATAAATTCAAAAATATTAAATTAACCAAAATCGAAATGAAAAGTAATAAAAAAATATTACTAATAATTACATATTTGAAGATGTTAAAATTGCTTGTGATATCGATCATTTGAAAGAATACTCTGATTTTTATAATGAATTCAATATTACTAATGTTGCATAAAATATTAACTTTTATGCTAATTTTATTCTTCTATAAATGGAAGAAGAAAAAAAAAAAATAAAAGCATAATTCAGATAAAACTAAAAAAGATTAAAAAACCAAACTTTAGCTCCAAGATAATCAAAAATTACTTTAGGAAATCTTGAAAATCTCATTAACATATAAGATAACTACCTATCTTTGTCATCTAAAAGCTCATTTAATTGCATTGACAGATCAAAAAGTAAATCAAAAAGGCTCCTCGATTTGTAATCTCAAAAGCAGTAATTAATTAATTTATTTTTTAGTATGACCAGAAGATCTTTTACAAATAGTATTCCAAAATATTTTGAACAATTCTATAAATAACCTTCATTTATCGAAAAGTGTAATTTAACAAAAAATAAACGAATCTCATCTCTAACTAGGTTTGATTCACTTTAAAAGGCTGAACTAAGTATTTTTAGAAAAGAAACTTTTATGAAAAAGTTAATTCCTGAACTTCTGCTTAATTTCAATTTAAAGCAGCCATAATTTTGATATTGACTGATTTTACTATGGTTTTATGCTCTCTTTATATTATATCTTATTGTGAATAATTATTTATAAATAGAAAATTATCTCATCAATTTTTCTTTAAATATTGATTTATTTTAATAAGGATTTAACTGATATTTGAAATAGTACAATCTTATTGTTTGATATATTATTATTACTTGATAAAACTTTCAACTTTTAGATTTCTTTACTATTTTTATTTAAATGAAAATTTAATTTTTTTTCTTCTAAATTATCCTTTCTAATAGTAAGTATGTTAATTCTTTATGTATTAATTAAGATTCGACATCTCTTTTAACATCATTCAACCAGTTTTTTCTTTTCCTAATTAATATTACTCTTATGATTGTTTCATTTTCATCTCACAATTTTTGTTGTTTTTAAATTTTATCTAAATGATATTATAAAAATATCTATTTCTTCTTTATTATGGGATAACTATTATACTGATAATTCAATTCTTTTTAGTGTGATATGTGTGATATCCTTCATGTTTAATTATTAAGATAAAATTACTAACCATTTAACTACTAAATTTTCTTGGTTTGATAAAGTTTTATTGCGAATCTGAAGTTAAATCAAATATTTAGCCTCTTAATTTTTATAGTTTTTAATTATTTTAATTTTTCATTGTTTTATTTATCTACTCAACCAAAGTTTATTAAGATAAAATAGCAATTAAATATTTTAAATAATAATTGATTCTTGCTTTTAACTACTTAAAGAGGATTCTTTTCAACTAGAATAGAAATTACAATTAATTTTATGAGATTTATCTTTTAAGTTTTTCCTTTATTATTTCATTCTGATGAATTAATAGTTCAATTAATTTTTTTTAATAGTTTCGATATTGAAAGCATTCTCATACTTAAATTAGAGAAAAATGTGAAAAATTCATGTATCTTAGAGAAATTACTTAAATAATCTTTGCACTTTTTTTGATTTTTCATTCATTCAAAAGAATTTGCTATATTAATTATTTATTTTTTTTACACATTCGGTCATTTATTTTAATATCTCTTGTATTTGAAATTAGTTTTTTGAATTGCTTTTTTATCTAAAGTATTAAATTAAATAATTTTTGAATTTTGTTAAATTGGTAACACTTTAAACAATTCTTTTATTATTATATTTGTATTAGATTGCTTAATTGCTCTTGTATTGTTGTATTGGAATTCATCTTATAAAAAGGTCAAAGTTTGATATAATATAAATAAATTAAGATAAAATCTATTCTCTAGGTTACATAGAATTCAAAGGTGATGAAGTTTACAAAAAAAAACACTTAATTAATTCATGAAATAATTCAAATATTGTAATTAGAACTTTCGAAATCAGTTTAGATCAAATCAAGACCATTTTTTACTTTAACTTATAATCGGTTAACACTAAAATTTTCTTCAAAGATTGATCACAATAGTTTATGTAGAGAAATTAGTTTAATCTACATGATAAATTTGATGTATAACAAATAATATTTTTATTTAAAATAAAATTTGTTAATGCAAAATAAAAAAAAAATACTTTGCTTACATGGAAATGGTGCAAACAAAGAATTTCACTCTTATTAATTAAGATAATTTGAGAAAGAATTTAACGACATTGAGTTTGTCACTATAAATGGTCCAATTTCAATAACAAGAAATGTTCATGCTTCATAAGTAGTAATACCGTAGAATTTTGCTAAAATGATTGAAAATAAACCATTATTTACATGGGGGAACTTTTTCAAATTAGATAACAACAATATCGATGCAGGTATGATAGCATAAGTCTATCTTTAGTTTTTTAAGAATCATTAGATTACGTAATTAAAATACTTAAAGAATAAGGCCCATTTTATGGAGTACTAGGATTTTCTTAAGGATCTGCAGTAGCAGCTAGGTTGGCTACATTAATAGATGATAAATAAATTGATCTAGGCTATGAAATAAATTGTTTTATTTTTTCTTCTGGGTCGATGATGACTTTGCCAAATAAACGATTGATTTTCTGCTAAATTCCTTCTATACATTTTATTGGAATTAATGATTTTTTATATGATAGGTATAAAGAAGATATTATATTTAAGATCTTTAGGATTATCAACTCAATTTTTAAATCCTTTAGTTATTCTTCATGATCAAGGGCACAAAGTTCCATTTTTAAGTAGGCAACAAATACAATTATTAAAACAATTTTTTAATAAAGGAAAAAATGGTTGGCTATAACAAATATTTGTTCCAAAATTATGATTAATTTTAGAATTTTATATTGCTTGTAATGTATTGTAAATATTCATTTGTAATGGTTTGTCCATGCAAATCTTTGAGTTGATTCATCAACTGTTCCTTATTTGATTCTCATAGAAAAAACATGCTTAGGTTTGCCAGTTATGTAGATTTTTGCTTATTATTTAGAATTTATATAAGCATTTGGTAACCAGTCAATATTCTAAATTACTATGATAAATTACATCAAATATAGCAGGTTTTAAGGGTATTTCAAGATATTAATTATGATAATATAAAACAGGTGTTTAGTATTAAAAAAATAAATCAAATAGCTATTATTATGATTAATAAATACAGAAATATATTTTTAGGCTTTGACCAAATTTTCTACATTAATAGGTTTTCTTCTAATTTGGAAGTACACATAACCATAAAATCTAAAGAAGATGCCTGGTGGTGTATATGTTCCAGTCTTTTCGATTTCTGATAGTACATCATTTACATTTACAAAAATACTTTGCAAAATTCTTTGAATATTAATAAATAGGAGTACTTTTCAGCTTCAAAAGCATGTGTGAGTCTCTCATTTATCAATGCTCTTTTAATTGGATGTTTATTTATTTCATTCTCATCCTTCATAATCATTTCCTCTTCTGGCTTCTCCCATTCTTCAGGATCAACTTCAAACCATTTCAAGTCTCCATATATTGTATAATCAGCCTATAATTAGGATAATTGTATATAAATACAAGCATTTTCTCACTAGTTGGATCTCCTCTATATCTGAGCATTCTATCATTAACATCTGAAAACATGGTTATGATTTCTTCCTTTTTTTGCTCTTCATTTTCAATTGATTTTTATCTCAAATTATCAATAGTTTCATTTGATATATGAGTCTGTTTAGTTTTTGCCTCTAACTTTTTTTTTTATTCAGAATTTTAATAGGCGACATATCCACCAGTACCCAAACCAACTATTCCAAAAAATGCTGCAAATATTTTCACTAGCTCAGTGTTTGAAGAACCTTGTTAAGGTGCCTAACTAAAATAGCTTCTGGATGTTTTATTCAGTGATTTTGAGAGTACTAATATTATTGAATCACATTGTTAATACCTGATTAACTTACATTAGACATTCTTCCATAAGACATTAACCTTTGGATCATTTTATTAAGACTTAAATTATCACAATTAAAAAAAATATTAATGATAAGATTTTGAAGGCTTTATAAGATTTATATGCCAAAAATTACAATTTTATTTTATTATAACAAATTTTATTTTTTAATATTATCTATAATGATTATAGTAATTAGTTAATAATTTCTATAATTATCAAAAGCACTTATTGAAAAAACAAAATCCACCACTTTTTTCCTTCTTATCATTCTCTTTGATTTGTTTCTAAGAAGAAAAATAAGAATAATGTAATTACTTTTCCTTTATTTAATCCATTAGTATATGATACTCTAGACTTGATTGATATATCTTATTACTCTTATTTTGAGCACATTGTGGTTGTGACCGATGTTTAAGGTTATTATTAATTATCAGAAATTTATAGATTATTTTTACACACTAAAGTAAATGTTTAACTTCCAGTTTCAAACAAGATTTATTCATAATCCAAACCTAAGCGACAAAAACATATAGCTAATACTTGGCAAATCATCTTTGGGTTGCCCAGATTTTTTTGAAATTTTTAAGACGTAATCACTTCCCTTTTTCGCTTTGAAGTTTACTCCTAAAGATTATATTTGTTTAAAATTACCTAATTCCTTTTAGAATTGATGCAGAGTGAATGTAATAGCGTCTTCAACAGTAAAAATGTTGGGTAATTCACAAATAATTTATACATACTTTTCGTTTTACATTGTAAAAAATGCATATTTTTTATTATATAGCATCTATTATTCCTAAGCTTTCAATTTGAAAATTACTTATTGCATTTAGGGATCATTTTTTGTGAGCTTCATATTATTTAAATGATCTAATTTAGATATTTAATTACTTATATTTTGTATATAAATATTTAATTCATATCACAAGTGTAGAAATATTTAATATTAATTATATTATCTATTTCAGTTTCATGGCTGATTAATCAAAACAACTCTAATGGACAGGTCGTAAGATTATTACGTCAGATAATGTTACTAAAGGTATATATGATGTCCTATAAAACATCAGGCATTGTGAAGAAATTAAATGAGAAAACAGGATAATATGAAACCATGAAGGTTGAAATCCCCAAATTAACAATTGCCTAGCAAATCGAAAACACAAAGATGGAAATTAATTAAGGTATATCATTTTATTTAAAATTAAAGCAAATGAGATCTCAAAAAAATTATATTAATAATTCAATACATTAAAAGAATAAGTTACAAGTTTAAGGCAACTTGTAGATGAGAAAGCAAAATAATATAAAAAGGAATAAGAAGAAAGAGAAAAAAATTTAAGAAAAATGATAAAATCAAAAGATTTAGAAATTAATATCGCTTAAATGAATGAAGAATAAATTAGAGATAGACTAAATGAACTTGAATAAGAACTTAAGAGTTCTACAAAGTTTAATGAAATCTTGGCAAAAGAGCGAGAAGTAGCTAAAAAAGAGAATGAAGCTATTGAAATGACAAAAAATATTGAATTGTTACAGAATAAATTAGAAGATAAGAAAAAAGAATTAAAATAAATTAAAAAAGAAAATATATAGTATTAACGATAAACTCAAGCCAATTAGAAAAAACTTGAGAAAATTGAAAAAGGAACAGATGAAGCTGCTTAGATTAATTAATTGAATAAAGAACTTTGTATACTAAGAGAAAAAGAAAATAAAATAAACGATAAAAAAAATAAGTTTTAAAAAAATATTGATGTAATATAATAATCAATCGAATTTTATTAAGAAAAAATATAAGAATTAAATGATGAGAAAGTTAAGGATTTAAAAGAGCTTTATTAACAAGCAAAAAAAAAATGGGAAGAAAAGGATGAATAGTTAGATAATGAAAAAAAGAAATCAAATAAGGATCTTGTTAAGGAAATAAAAGAAAAAAAAGAACAAATAGAAAAGGAGAAGGCTAAGAAAAAAGAAAAAGTTGATGAAGAAGATAAGCCAAATAAATTTAAGAGAATTAGTGATTACATCAAAGAAAAAAAAGATGTTAGCAGCCTAAAGGCGGATGAACAAAATTTCATTTAATTATTCTAATTCAAAGCTGATCTCACGAAATAAAAATAAAAAAAATAAAAAAAGAATGAACAGGAGAAAGAATAATTAGAAAGTTCAATAAATAATTTAAAACTAGAAAGAGTGAACATATAGAATGCTATAAAAGAAAGAGAAAGGGAAAGAGAAATGGCAGAAACTAAAGAAGTTGAGGAAAAGGAAAAATTAGAATTATTAAAAGAAAAGAAAAGAATGGAACTTGAAAAAAAGGAGAAAGAAAAATTGGAAAAACTTAAGAGTAATTAACGATCTTAATTATCACCCCTTAGAGCAAAGCAATAAAAAGATGCAATCACAAAAGAAAAATTGATAAAAGAAAAAGAAGAGTAATTAAAATAGTTTAAAGAAAAATATTCAAAGTTACCAAAAGAAAAACAATAGTAATTTTTGCAAGAACCATTTAAACTTTCTTATCAAACATTAGAAGAGAAAAGGAGGAGATAAAAGGAAAAGCAAAATGATAAAGAGGACAAAGATAAAGTAGAAGTTAAAGCATTGAGTATTATTGAAACTGTTTGCAGAACCAAGCATAGAGGATCTAAAAGAGACTGGTTTGGATATGAGCCTAATGAATAAACAGTCTAATGTGATGATGTTCACATTTTAGGATAGTTTTCTATTAATCATAGAATTAAGAAAATAACTATATATCATAATCCAACTGAAGGGTTAATTTATTTATTGTGGACAGAATACAGAAAGGAGGATGGTACTCTCATAAGTGGAACGTGGAATGTAAATATGTTAATATATCTTTAGATCAATTAAGAATTATTAGAAAAAAACAAGGATATAAAGAGAGATGAATTAGATTTACAAGATAAAGATAAAATTAAATAAATAATTATTCGAAGAGATAATAATTTTGTATCATTTATATAATTTAATACTAAATAAGGATAGTAGTTCAAAGTAGGAAAGGAAGTGATGTAAATATATTGAACTAATTTTAAGTGAAAAATAGGAAGAAGAGAAACCAAAAGAGAAAAGTGATGAATAACAAGATAAGAAAGATGGTGAAGGATAAGAAAAAAAGGAAGATCCTGATAAAAGAGATCTTAAGATTGATAATTTTTCTGTTCTCTTTACTTTATTTAGTGGTTATTCTTAGAGAAATGAGAAAGAATTAGCTATGAGTTATTTTGGTTATGAAATAGGAAGAAAGTTAACAGCCGAAGAATACAGCTAGTATTTGGAGGAAAAACAAAAAAGATTAGAGGAAAAAGAGAAAAAAAATAAATTAAAGAAGTTAGAAGAGAGTATGGCCAGTGATTTGAATAGGAGCTAAATCAGAAAGAAATGAAAATCATTATAATATTAGAATATATAAATAATATCATAATATATATATATATTTATATATATAAATTGATGCAAATTTGAAATGGAAATTAAATCTTTTTTATTAAATATAGAGAAAAATGGCAAATTAAGTTGAATTCAAATAGCTCGGTTTCTTGAGAGGTCACGGTGATTGGGTTACCAGTATCATTACCAATTAAGACCCAACTTTGGCTGATTTAGTCATCTCAGGTTCAAGAGACAAATCCATTCTTGTTTGGAAATTATTCAAATAACCAGATGGTGATTTGGCTGGTCAACCAAGAAAACAATTGAAAGGACACTCCCATTTTGTAAGTGATTTAGTGTTATCCAACGATAATAAATATTTATTATCAGCCTCATGGGACAAAGAATTGAGATTCTGGG